ACCGACATTGCTTCCCTTTACTCGCGCCAGAGACGCGGCTAAAGCGGTTACATCCCGGGAAAACCACATTTAAAATGGTGTGGCTCAAACGGCAATGGACATGGTTGAGTGATCGTGTGAATGTGACTCTCCCGGCAATGCGCTATTGGTTAATCCAATGTTGTCGTAAATAATGTGAAATATTCATTATGTAAAATCTAGAAATCCAGTTGAATTGTTCGTGGTGAAAAGTCCAGATCACGCAAACTAGCTGCCTCACATGGGTACTCAAACACCTTTCACGAATTATTTATGATTAAACAACCCATTATTTCTTTGAAGCCTTTTAACTTATGGGAGGGTCAATTCAATGTTTTATCCTTTTCTGATAACTGTTTGAGATAAGAGCTATGGTTGCCTCCGTTATTTTGTTTACATTTATGCTAAAAACTCAACAACAAAAAATAAATTAGATGAATTACCATTTATTGTACAAATTTCCTTATAAACAGCCACATATGTTACGCCTAACTCTTTCCATTGCACAGCTGTTTAGAAGACATTTATGACTAGATTTTCCAAAATCAGTATTTTGCCACCGTTGCGGTAATGACATTTTGATTTAAAGTTGAAACGTCACAACAATGTGTAAACAGGGGCGCCCAGAGAGGCTGCACCTGTCCGGAGCTCTGACTGAAACTGGGGATATCTCAATAACTACTTGACTCTTCCTACTGGAACTTGTTCCAGATGAGTATTGCATGACAGAGACATTGAATTATGTCTTATATATAATTTGTGGAATCTGTGCATAAACTGACATTTTCAACATACAAATATTTTCACTGGGCCAGTAGCTACCTGTTGAGACTGATTGGTCCTTTGTTCTATGCAGCCTGCCAATCAAGCTCAGCCAGATGGAGTGATTGAACAACAATGTATGTGTGTTCACTGCTTACCTGGTCATTGTTACTGGCAATGCTTGTCAATTCAGCCGATGAGTTGTACAAGCAAAACCACAAGCATACTATACCTCTCACTACACTGAAACAAGAACATTGTCAATTTGTAGTGTCAAAAAAGTCAGACGGGGACGTCGTGGTGGAAATAGAGTTAATATTTTCCTAAAGTCCACAAATATTGCCACTACAGCAAAGAAAATCACAACACATTTTGGAGTTTTAAATGCCAGATCTGTGAAAACAAATACAGCGTCAGACAACAAAGCCCAATCGATACGTGATTTAATTTGGGACAACAAACTTGATGTTCTAACTTAAACAGAAACATGGTTACGTGGAGATGATGTGGACCAAGAGGTCATAAATACCATTACACCAGCTGGCTTCAAAATTTCTCAGGTTTCTAGGACTGCAAATCGAGGTGGCGGTATTGCTGTCATTTACAAGGACATTTTCAAATCTTCAAAGTGTCTGCTCCTCTGACTTTCCATTCATTTGAAAGTCTAAATATTTAGACTTCAAAGTGACAGTGAGACATTACTGGTGTGTGTTATATATAGGCCCCCAACCTGGAGCTGTGTTCGTGGCGTTCAAGATGAGACAGGCTTTCTTACTGAGTTTGCCTCCCTCCTCGAGTTTCTCAACACAGTCCCTGGCAAACTGATTATATCTGGAGATTTTAACATTCACGTCGAAGATGTTCATAATCCGGACACAGACAAATTCTTGGATGTTCTTGTTTCACATGGACTTGTTCTGCATGTCACAGATCCAACTCATGTTCGCTGAAGTACACTGGATCTCATCCTCACAAGAAACGATGAACTTGACATGGAGATCACTGGGGTTGATCACTCAGTCCAGTCCGATCATTTTACCATCATGGCAAAACTAAGTTTCTTAACACCTAGGAGACCACGCCAAGAACTGTCATATCGGAAATGGAGGCAAATAAATCTTCCAGATTCCAAGACTGCTCTCAGCACAGTTCTGAGTGGTTACTCGGAGCTAAGTGTTGAAGCCTGTGCTCACCAATATTATACTGGGATCAGAACTGTCGTTGATGAACAGGCTCCTTTAGTGAAACGTGTTGTGACAGTCCACACAAACGAATAATGGTATAATGATGAAATTAGAGCTGCAAAACAATATCGTCGTCAGTTAGAACGACAAATGCGTTCGTCTACCTTAACAGTGTTTAAGGAGATGCATTCTGCCCAATGCAATGTGGTCAACACTCTTGTCAACAAGGCAAAGAAGACATTCCTCAACGATGCAATTCAGAACTCTAAAGGTCACAAAGATCTTTATCGGTTGTGTGATAGGCTTCTATTCAAGAAGAAGTCGAAATCACTCCCAAACTCAAATTCAAAAGAAGAGATGGTGAATGCGTTTTCCAAATTCTTCACAGAGAAGATACAAATTCTTCGTTCCAGTCTTGAAAGTACTTGTGGGACATCTGAGACTTCAAGTACCAATCACAACTCACCAGATCACAAGCCACCAGATCACCTTCCTCCACTATCCAGCCTCTCTCAAACCAGTGAGATGGAGATCAGGAATCATATTTCAAAGTGTCAAAACAAATCCTGCAGTCTGGACCCGTTACCCATGTGGCTGCTTAAGGACTATTTGGACGAGCTGGTCCCTGTGACCACCCATTTAGTTAATCAATCCTTTCTTGAATCAGCCGTTCCTGAAGCATTCGAAAAGACCCTTGTCTCGCCGTTAATGAAAAAAGCACTATTAGATACTGAGTATCTTAAAAAACTATAGACCTGTATCTAACCTGTCGTTTGTTTCGAAAGTCGGGTAGTTGCTTCACAACTCAACCAGCATTTGATCAGGTCAGGGAACGCTGAAGTTCTCCAGTCAGCCTACGGGAAAGGCCATAGTACTGAGACTGCCCCGGTTCGCGTTCAGAACGATCTCCTATAGGCAGTCGACAAGGATGGTGCAGCAGTGTTGGTACTCCTGGATTTAAGCGCTGCTTTTGACACCATTGATCAGGGAAGACTCCTTGATACCCTTGAGCAGAGATTTGGTGTTACTGGCGATGCACTATTCTGGCTGAAATCCTATCTGATAGGTCGATACCAATGTGTCGATGTGGACGGTATTAGATCTGAGATGACCGAGCTTAGGTACGGCGTACCCCAGGGTTCCGTGCTAGGACCAAAACTTTAAATAAAATATACACCTCCCCACTTGGTGATGTTCACACCGTCTCACCTTCCATCTTTATGCTGACAACACACAGTTATACCTGTCCTTCAAGCCCATCGACAATGACTCAACCAATGGTGCATTTTCAAGAATGACTGCCGGTATCGAAGAAATCAAATCTTGGATGACAAGAAACTTTCTAAAACTGAATGAGGAAAAAACCGAATTGCTGGTAATAACATCAAAATTCAACAGACCTAAACTGTCACTTCCTGAGTTCAAAGTGTCAACCAGTATCATCGACCCTAGCCAGGAAGCCAGGAATCTCGGTGTCATATTCGACTCTACACTCAGCGCCGAGTCTCATGTCAGCAAAGTCTGTCGGCGAGCCTATATAGAACATCAGGAACATCAGTCGCATCGGTCAATTCATCAAATTCCAAACTTCATTGATGCTTGTGCAAGCCTGTGTTATGTCTCATCTTGACTACTGTAATTCACTTCTTTATGGCCTCCCAAACCGTCTCATCAACAAACTTCAAAAGTCCACAATTCCGCTGCACGATTAATCAAGAGAACTAGAAAATCAGACCACATCACCCCTATACTGAAGAATCTACACTGGCTTTAGATTGCAGACAGAATCAAGTTCAAAACACTGACTCTAACTTTCCGTGCCACTCTGAGCCACCTCCCTATCTCAACGAACTTATTCACAAAATACCAACCTGCAAGATCTTTGCGATCCGATAGCCAACTCCTACTGACAGTTCCCTCCGCCCGAACATCTTTTGGAAATAGAAGCTTCCAAATCGTAGCTCCACGGCTCTGGAATTCTCTCCCTTTTGAATTACGATCTTCTCAGAACATAGAAACATTCAAATCACACCTACCTCACCAAAATCTACCTCTTCACCTCATGTTACGCCTGAACTGCAAACTCCACGTGTATATGGACTCACTGTTGTACATCTTCCCCAGGACAATTCATTGCCCCAATCAAAATTAGTTTACATGAGACATACAAAAATACAACTGGAAATAAGAGCTATATAAAATTATATATTTATTATTATTAATGAAATGTGGCTTTTGCTGCAATTGTTTTTGTTTTTTTCAAATGTGGCTTTGCCGGTCGGACACCGCTAAGGTTAAAACTGCGTGGTTGTGTTTTAAGCCAGTGATTGATGGATCTGTGTTTGTGCTTGATGAGGAACAGGAGGGTTTCTGAACAAAGACACTGACGAGAACTTGTTTGTCTGTTTGTTTGTTTGGTTGGTTGGTTGGTTGGTTGGTTGGTTGGTTGTAAGAACAAGCACGTTAGGGATTGCAAACGACGTGCTACATAAAGTCACATTGACTACTTGACAGAACTGCCAAGTTTCATAACACAAGGGCCTGTCTGAATCTCTGAAGCACGGTCTTTCTGACGGGAATGGCCAAGCAGACGATGCGAGCGAGACAACTGAAATCTGAACAAGAAATACTACTGGCTTGAGATGAAATGCTGTGTGTTTTTATTATATTTCTTTGTGTAAAACGCTTGATATAATTTGTCATGTAGAAACTGTGTGCGATGATGCAATAACTATGAAGTCAAATAACAATTTCACTCACTCACTCACTCACTCACTCTATCATATACCTGCAGGCAACATGCGCCCGTTCCCTACAAGGTAAACAAGGTATGACACCAGAGGTGTAACATTGGCAGATTAACTTTTTGTAGGTAGACAATTACAAATTGAAATCAATCTAGGTCAGGGCGTACATATCAAGTCGTGACTGAATATGAAAAGCGAACGGGAGTTTTCCCAGACACAGCGCGTATTTCACAATGTATACAGCCATTGATACTATGGGCATTGAAGCGTACAGGTATACAAAACTGTGTCCACCTACGAAGGTATGCAGATATCAATGTTTAAATGCATTCACACGACCTAAGCTGACATACAGTTTTCTGAAAATGAGAGTTCTCCTCCTGTTCATCGTAAGCCGGTTTGGATTGTGCCAAGACAGTGAGTTCCCTAACTTCTTCTACAATATGACGTTCATGTTGAGTAATGTCCATTTAACATATGACATGCCATTAGGTTTCGCATTTCACTTTGTTTGAATGTAAAGAAGATTTACTGGTGACTACTTTTGTATATTCGTTGTGAAAATTATCAAGATCACCGTTATATAGTCATAAAAATGACAGCTACCAAACACTTTCCATAATCATAATATCGTGGCGACAAGGGAGTTATTGGACGACTCAGACTATATTCCCATCATATCATAGGTATGTGTTTATGAATCACTATAACACGATGATGATATCAGGTGCTCGTCAATCGTCATCACATTCTGCCCCACTGGTGGCACTTGTTGTGAGTTGCTATCACAGATACCATTCATATTGTATCTCACTGTCATATATGTCTGTTGTATCAATATAATGTGTCATACTTTCAATACAATCATGCCATTCATACAATCTCTCGTGGTCAGACCGTGCGTTACGTCAGTGTACAGTGAGATGAGCAGACATGGGTTCATACGCTGCGAGCATATTGCGACGGGCATGTACGTGTGTGCGTGTGGCTGTTTGTGCAAGTACAGACCTACCCCTTTTTATGGTGCTAGCCCACGAAGATACCATGACGCTGATCAATATGGGAACCACACTGAGACAGTTTGCTGACCAGTAAATGTTTTAGTCTCTAAATACAAGTCAAGGTGTTTACAAGAATAAATAAGGATTTACTGGTTTAACACATCTGACAACAGTATGCTGCCTGTCAGGATTTGACATACCGGTTGTATTGGATGCAACGTCCCGATGGGGTCGGGGAAGACACTTATAACTCGACACCCGATTCTAAGGATTATTCCTCTCACTGGAATAGGGTATTGGAGATTCTCCAGCCTCAATGTCCTAGGTGATCATTTGGCAATGCTAAGATACATTAACATATCTTATGACATTTGTCGGTACTGACTGACTGACTGACTGACTGAGTTTGGTTTTACGCCGTTTTTAGCAATATTCCAGCAACATCACGGCGGGGGGACACCAGAAATGGGCTTCAGACATTGTACCCATGTGGGGATTCGAACCCGGGCCTTCGGCGTGACAAGCCAACGCTTTAACCAGAAGGCTACCCCACCGCCCCTCACATATCTCAGGACAATTACCGGTAGACAATTAAACACCTCACAGATGCAGATACCGGGAAGTTCTTACACCTCATCATTTTACACCTTTTGGGTAATGTGTTGTTTTCATATTTTCTAGACATTGAAGCGTCCGTCGATATTTTGAAGCCACATCCGGGGTTGAGAAGCTGTACTCTCCCCAGGGAGTTTACAGTGACTGTAAGGACGCATAATGAGTCCGCCACACTCCGGCTGGTGACCAGCACGTCAGTGAAGTCTACAGCCCCAGTATATGTGTGTAGACAGGAGAAGGGAAACCCGGTCATCGTCAGAGATACAGTGTTGGACCCGGAAGTAATACTGCTTTCATAGCTCATTCCCATTTGTACTGCAAGTACATTGTACAAAGATCGATATAAGCTTCAATGAATCTGAAAGTGTTTGATATCGTACTTAAAAGTCGACAAGGATACTTTACACAGATCACAACAGCGAGTTTTGAATTCACAAAGACTATTATAGTATGACCAGAAATTATTGAGAATTTTAGGAATATGTTAAATTGGATTTCTAGTATAAACAACATTGACCAGCTATCAAGTGCTTGGTTTCATTCAAGAAAGACAACTCTGTTCATCCTTTTTCATTAGTTTGTGAAGAGTTATCCCCCTTTGTTTACTTGCTAGCAGACGACATTTTCAGTGATCCTCAATATGGATGATTTAGAGAAGAGGAAGTTGCTTTTAGAGTATTATAACAAGGACATCAGATCAGCTAAAGTGATTTCAAGTAGAACAGGCATCCCTTTGTCCACTGTTTATCGTGTTTTGAAAAATATTGCAAATGGATATGGCATTGAGCACCAGGGGGGCGCAGGTAGGCCCAGAAAATTGACTGTCGGTGACAGGGGGCGGCTTGGTATTCTTGTTTCTAAAAACAAACGAAGGAGTTTAGAAAACTTAAGGCTGGATATGATTGATAGAGGAACTGTGGCTGTCTGTAAGGAGACAATTAGAACTGAGCTGCATGCAATGGGTTGGCAGAAAAGTCGAAGAATTCCATCACCGATCATGAAACCTGAACAATAGGAGCGAAGGTTGAACTGGTGCTTACAGCATAGAAATTTTAACTGGGACAATGTGATTTTCTCAGATGAAAGTTCTGTGTGTCTGTTTCCTAATACACTGAAATTCTTGACCAAACAAACTGAAAAACCTTTGTATCAGCACCCAAAGTACAGTCCGAAATGTAACGTATGGGGTGGCATAACTGTGTAAGGGGCAACGCCCCTCTGTGTATTTGAAGGGAATATGAACAGTGAGCGGTACACAGATATTCTCGAGAGACATTTACTTCCATCTGCTCACGTGTTCTATGGAAAGTTTTGGATTTTCCAGCAGCACAACGACCCAAAGCATCGTTCAAAGCATTCACAGGCCTGGTTTCGGACCCAAAATATGACATTATTAGATTGGCCAAGCTATAGCCCTGACCTAAATCCAATAGAAAATGTTTGGGGACTTGTGAAGGAAAGTGTCAATAAGAAAAATCTGACAAATATTGCTGAAATGAAAGAAGAGGTGGTCCGATATTGGGACAGCATGGACCACGACTTTCTAACTTCTTTGATCAGTAGTATGCCCCGCCGCATTGAAGCCTGCTTTGCTGCCCATGGTGACTTGACAAAATATTAAGTGTTCACCCGTCTTTGAATCTGGAGTTATGTTCTGCTAATATTCACATTTAATACGTGAGTAATGAGTGAATTTTATTTTTTAAATTACAATCTTAAGTTCTCAATAATTTCTGGTTGTACTGTAGAAGGTAGTCAAATGTAGCAAATGCTTATTTGTTATGTTACTTTCTTGAAGCATTGCCAAGGGAATATGTACAAAGATGTGGACGTGTAGGCAGATAATGATGTGGTACCAGGAGGATATCAGACCATCTTTACTTCCATCACACAACTCTAATACATTCAGTGTCATTTCCGTTTAGTCATGTTACAAGAACATATGAAAATATATATTTCCAAGAGACGTAACTGCATATCGAAAGGCAGAGAAGTGACGCCTTTTTTCTGCAAATAAATTGCTCCTTTTCTGTGAACCATGTATGATCTAAACCTCTTGCACCTGTATTGACTTGCTATCGACGAGCGTGGATGTTATCCTGACATTCACGTGCATGCGTTCATAAAGTATGTCGACCTGGCTGTAATACTTTATTTCTTTCAGAGAACAGCCGAGTACCAGGATGTGACTCATCTGTCTAACATGGAGGTGTCCTGTGTCATGAAAAAGAACAGCAAACCATATTATATATTTGTACGTGTTGCCGATTTATTAAATTACAATCAAAATGCTGAATTTCAATTGATAAAGGTCCAGACAGGCCCAGACAGTGTCGGTGTTATAATTATGTGCATTATGTCCATGTAATAAGGAAACATATTAAATGATATTTGTTCAAAGCCTTGGTAAAGTTTTCAACTGTTTAACATTTCGATATTTGACGCTTCAGCGACAAGACATCATGACAGTTTGATAGTATTTAGTAAACACATTTCCAATCAACAATGTGATAAGAACAGATTTCTTATGCCAGTGGAAAGGGTTCCGTCACTATTATTCTTGCCTGCAGAAGAGTCAAATACAATCATACCCATAAAGAGGAATAGGTTTCTGTTTGGATGGAGGCGATCCCTCATTTCCAATACATCTCGTTATATGTGCTACTCACTATTACAGGAGTATAATGGCCAACATCCGAGGGGATGGTGTAAACCCAGCTAGAGCTCATGTCGGTATCAAAAGGTTCACACGGTCCCTAGTATGGTGATCTAACCTCAGTTGCTGGTGGTCTATAGCCTGTCTCTATATTGTGTTGTTTAGAAAATATTAGTTTATTACTTACTAGTTTAAAATTTATGTCCGTGATTGTTTCTTGTTTTTTCGGGGAAGCTGTATTGTAATGTCATAAATAGCCTATAACATATGTTAGGAACTGTGAATGTACCAAGGATGCATATTACTATTGTGTATTTTCCAGGAAGGCTTCCTCGTGTTCTCTGGACGAAGCATGTTTGAACTAAAGCCGACAAGATCTGCCTCTGGTGATGTCAAATACACACTTACATCTACAACAGTGCACAACAAACAGATAGATGCTGATGGTAAGTTGTTCTCTGACATGCCCTTCTCTGTCGGTTTAACATATATAATCACACCATTCGCTGAGTGTTCTGAAACAATGTAGATCGTTCCTCCTGTTAGAACGTGGAATGTTTTGATACTCTGTCTGAAACTATTGTCATACAAAACTGCCCATCGTTCCCAATCACTTACACCATCACATGTTAGTGATGTAATTATATCATACAAAACTGCGCATCGTTCCCAATCACTAACACCATCACATGTTAGTGATGTAATTGTATCATACAAAACTGCCCATCGTTCCCAATCACTAACACCATCACATGTTAGTGATGTAATTATATCATACAAAACTGCCGATCGTTCCCAATCACTAACACCATCACATGTTAGTGATGTAATTATATCATGGCCACGTAAAGACGAAATGGCCAAGTAAAGACCTCGGAAATGCTTCCTGCAATCCTCCAATAACAATATAAGCAACAAAGTCTAGATACAACAAAAGGTATTTGAAGTTAGCTGTTACAGATTACAGTGTCGCATTAGCTCTTTAGAGCCATTACGCCCTCAGTGCCGGTTTAGCTCTTTAGAGCCATTACGTCCTCAGTGCCGGTTTAGCTCTTTAGAGCCATTACGCCCTCAGTGCCGGTTTAGCTCTTTAGAGCAATTACGCCCTCAGTGCCGGTTTAGCTCTTTAGATCCATTACGCCCTCAGTGCCGGTTTAGCTCTTTAGAGGCATTACGCCCTCAGTGCCGGTTTAGCTCTTAAGAGCCATTACGTCCTCAGTGCCGGTTTAGCTCTTTTGAGCCATTACGCCCTCAGTGCCGGTTTAGCTCTTTAGAGCCATTACGCCCTCAGTGCCGGTTTAGCTCTTTAGAGCCATTACGCCCTCAGTGCCGGTTTAGCTGTGTAGAGTCATTACGCCCTCAGTGCCGGTTTAGCTCTTTAGAGCCATTACGCCCTCAGTGCCGGTTTAGCTCTTTAGATCCATTACGCCCTCAGTGCCGGTTTAGCTGTGTAGAGTCATTACGCCCTCAGTGCCGGTTTAGCGACAAAAATAATAGGTGAAACAAGAAACAAAACTGACTCATGTTTAGAGTTACAGTTGGGAAATGTGGACGGTTTCCAGTTAATATTAATTCTTACGTTCGAACGATGAAATATTGGGTTAAGTTAACGACAATGCATCTACTCTTAAAAAACAGTTCACCATATAAGTTATATACAGAATATAAGAGTCTTCTTGAGTCAGAGGGGTATCTGTCTTGAAATGTGGCATAATATTGATGTATCTCAAAGACTGACTGACTGAGTTTAGTTTTCGCCGCTTTTAGCAATATTCCAGCAATATCACGGCGGGGACACCAGAAATAGATTTGCCCAGAAGAACCCGGGTCTTCGGCGTGTCAACGCTTTTTGTATTCAAAGAAATTGTCCTGTATGCAAAGTAGATTTAGAAGATGAATGTCACTTTTTGTTGAAATGTCAAGCTTATAAAGAACTTCGGTATAGATTTTTGACTAAGAAGTTGCAAGCTAATATGATATCGTTTAGGAATATCTTTTACCAAACAAAACTGAAGACAAAAAAAATCTGGCTTGTTTTATATAGTATGTATATAAAATTAGAGAAAAGTTAGAAATAGGTATTAAACTTCTAAAAAATTGAAGTACAGCTATACATATATATGTTACTGATATTTGTCACTGGGGGGATAAGATGATCTATGCAGGTAGACAGGTAAATGATATGATTATGAATAAGAAATTGTTTAATCTTTTCGTTCACGCCTTCATATTGGAATATGTATGTTAATGTGTAGATGGGCATGTGGCCTTCATACGTAATAGAGATTTTGATGATGACAACCTATGCTACCTAAGTATTAATAACACGTAAAACATGCTGACCCAAGAAAGGAGACATAAAGTATGGCTGAAACCTAACACAAATCACATGGTAAACAAAAGGTGGATACATACCACAAATCACATGGTTAACATAAAGGTGGATACATACCACAAATCACATGGTTAACATAAAGGTGGATACATACCACAAATCACATGGTTAACATAAAGGTGGATACATACCACAAATCACATGGTTAACATAAAGGTGGATACATACCACAAATCACATGGTTAACATAAAGGTGGATACATACCACAAATCACATGGTTAACATAAAGGTGGATACATACCACAAATCACGTGGTTAACATAAAGGTGGATACATACCACAAATCACATGGTTAACATAAAGGTGGATACATACCACAAATCACGTGGTTAACATAAAGGTGGATACATACCACAAATCACGTGGTTAACATAAAGGTGGATACATACCACAAATCACAAATGGTTAACATAAAGGTGGATACATACCACAAATCACATGGTTAACATAAAGGTGGATACATACCACAAATCACGTGGTTAACATAAAGGTGGATACATACCACAAATCACATGGTTAACATAAAGGTGGATACATACCACAAATCACATGGTTAACATAAAGGTGGATACATACCACAAATCACGTGGTTAACATAAAGGTGGATACATACCACAAATCACATGGTTAACATAAAGGTGGATACATACCACAAATCACATGGTTAACATAAAGGTGGATACATACCACAAATCACGTGGTTAACATAAAGGTGGATACATACCACAAATCACATGGTTAACATAAAGGTGGATACATACCACAAATCACATGGTTAACATAAAGGTGGAAATCACATACCACAAATCATCACATGGTTAACATAAAGGTGGATACATACCACAAATCACATGGTTAACATAAAGGTGGATACATACCACAAATCACATGGTTAACATAAAGGTGGATACATACCACAAATCACGTGGTTAACATAAAGGTGGATACATACCACAAATCACATGGTTAACATAAAGGTGGATACATACCACAAATCACATGGTTAACATAAAGGTGGATACATACCACAAATCACATGGTTAACATAAAGGTGGATACATACCACAAATCATGGTTAACATAAAGGTGGATACATACCACAAATCACATGGTTAACATAAAGGTGGATACATACCACAAATCACGTGGTTAACATAAAGGTGGATACATACCACAAATCACATGGTTAACATAAAGGTGGATACATACCACAAATCACATGGTTAACATAAAGGTGGATACATACCACAAATCACGTGGTTAACATAAAGGTGGATACATACCACAAATCACATGGTTAACATAAAGGTGGATACATACCACAAATCACGTGGTTAACATAAAGGTGGATACATACCACAAATCACGTTAACATGGTTAACATAAAGGTGGATACATACCACAAATCACATGGTTAACATAAAGGTGGATACATACCACAAATCACATGGTTAACATAAAGGTGGATACATACCACAAATCACATGGTTAACATAAAGGTGGATACATACCACAAATCACATGGTTAACATAAAGGTGGATACATACCACAAATCACATGGTTAACATAAAGGTGGATACATACCACAAATCACGTGGTTAACATAAAGGTGGATACATACCACAAATCACGTGGTTAACATAAAGGTGGATACATACCACAAATCACATGGTTAACATAAAGGTGGATACATACCACAAATCACGTGGTTAACATAAAGGTGGATACATACCACAAATCACGTGGTTAACATAAAGGTGGATACATACCACAAATCACGTGGTTAACATAAAGGTGGATACATACCACAAATCACATGGTTAACATAAAGGTGGATACATACCACAAATCACATGGTTAACATAAAGGTGGATACATACCACAAATCACATGGTTAACATAAAGGTGGATACATACCACAAATCACATGGTTAACATAAAGGTGGATACATACCACAAATCACATGGTTAACATAAAGGTGGATACATACCCACAAATCACATGGTTAACATAAAGGTGGATACATACCACAAATGACATGGTTAACAAAAAATGTGGATACATACCACAAATCACATGGTTAACATAAAGGTGGATACATACCACAAATCACATGGTTAACATAAAGGTGGATACATACCACAAATCACATGGTTAACATAAAGGTGGATACATACCACAAATCACATGGTTAACATAAAGGTGGATACATACCACAAATCACGTGGTTAACATAAAGGTGGATACATACCACAAATCACATGGTTAACATAAAGGTGGATACATACCACAAATCACATGGTTAACATAAAGGTGGATACATACCACAAATCACATGGTTAACATAAAGGTTGATACATACCACAAATCACATGGTTAACATAAAGGTGGATACATACCACAAATCACGTGGTTAACATAAAGGTGGATACATACCACAAATCACATGGTTAACATAAAGGTGGATACATACCACAAATCACATGGTTAACATAAAGGTGGATACATACCACAAATCACGTGGTTAACACATAAAGGTGGATACATACCACAAATCACGTGGTTAACATAAAGGTGGATACATACCACAAATCACATGGTTAACATAAAGGTGGATACATACCACAAATCACGTGTTAACATAAAGGTGGATACATACCACAAATCACATGGTTAACATAAAGGTGGATACATACCACAAATCACATGGTTAACATAAAGGTGGATACATACCACAAATCACATGGTTAACATAAAGGTGGATACATACCACAAATCACATGGTTAACATAAAGGTGGATACATACCACAAATCACATGGTTAACATAAAGGTGGATACATACCACAAATCACATGGTTAACATAAAGGTGGATACATACCACAAATCACATGGTTAACATAAAGGTGGATACATACCACAAATCACATGGTTAACATAAAGGTGGATACATACCACAAATCACATGGTTAACATAAAGGTGGATACATACCACAAATCACATGGTTAACATAAAGGTGGATACATACCACAAATCACATGGTTAACATAAAGGTGGATACATACCACAAATCACATGGTTAACATAAAGGTGGATACATACCACAAATCACATGGTTAACATAAAGGTGGATACATACCACAAATCACATGGTTAACATAAAGGTGGATACATACCACAAATCACATGGTTAACATAAAGGTGGATACATACCACAAATCACATGGTTAACATAAAGGTGGATACATACCACAAATCACGTGGTTAACATAAAGGTGGATACATACCACAAATCACGTGGTTAACATAAAGGGTGGATACATACCACAAAATCACATGGTTAACATAAAGGTGGATACATACCACAAATCACATGGTTAACATAAAGGTGGATACATACCACCAAATCACATGGTTAACATAAAGGTGGATACATACCCACAAATCACATGGTTAACATAAAAGGTGGATACATACCACAAATCACGTGGTTAACATAAAGGTGGATACATACCACAAATCACATGGTTAACATAAAGGTGGATACATACCACAAATCACATGGTTAACATAAAGGTGGATACATACCACAAATCACGTGGTTAACATAAAGGTGATATACATACCACATGAAAATCAAACATGGGTTAAGGTGGATACAACACAAATCACATGGTTAACATAAAGGTGGATACATACCACAAATCACATGGTTAACATAAAGGTGGATACATACCACAAATCACAAATGGTTAACATAAAGGTGGATTACATACCACAAATCACATGGTTAACATAAAGGTGGATACATACCACAAATCACATTGGTTAACATAAAGGTGGATACATACCACAAATCACATGGTTAACATAAAGGTGGATACATACCACAAATCACATGGTTAACATAAAGGTGGATACATACCACAAATCACATGGTTAACATAAAGGTGGATACATACCACAAATCACATGGTTAACATAAAGGTGGATACATACCACAAATCACATGGTTAACATAAAGGTGGATACATACCACAAATCACATGGTTAACATAAAGGTGGATACATACCACAAATCACATGGTTAACATAAAGGTGGATACATACACACAAATCACATGGTTAACATAAAGGTGGATACATACCACAAATCACATGGTTAACATAAAGGTGGATACATACCACAAATCACATGGTTAACATAAAGGTGGATACATACCACAAATCACATGGTTAACATAAAGGTGGATACATACCACAAATCACATTAACATAAAGGTGGATACATACCACAAATCACATGGTGGATACAGGTGTGGATACATACCACAAATCACGTGGTTAACATAAAGGTGGATACATACCACAAATCACATGGTTAACATAAAGGTGGATACATACCACAAATCACATGGTTAACATAAAGGTGGATACATACCACAAATCACATGGTTAACATAAAGGTGGATACATACCACAAATCACATGGTTAACATAAAGGTGGATACATACCACAAATCACATGGTTAACAGTGGACATCCTCCATAGCGACATGGTTAAGATAAAAGTTATGGAATCAAGAATGACATAAGTAAATTGTGGTGCTGTGTGTTCAGATGATGGTGAAAATGGTCGATCAGGGAATGGTGGTTCAGGAAGTGCCTGGGAGAGTATGGCATCACATTCGTTGAGGAAGAAGCGCCAGATTCAATCGCCAATCTATGTGGACGTCATCGCAGTTTTAGAGTTGTCAGTTTATAAAAGGTACTTCAACAATATTCAGATTCATATTGCATTTTCTATTACTTCCACCCCAAACACTGTTGCGTTCACCTCAAAGCTTGCAACTGCAAGAGAGCTGTAGAAATCCATATTGGCTTGTTTGTTATTCTTACGTCTAACGATGTTTGACCAAAGGAATAGTAACATATGGTAGTGTGTTTTTGTGTAGTTAGCAAAGCAATAAGTTGGGGCTGTTCATATTTATCATTGTCACAATATTTTTTTAAGAATGACTAATTCCTGCTGTTAAACCTTTGTATGGCAATGTATATTCTGGTACTGGCTTCCCTTGTGTTTCACAGATGGCTTTCCAGAGCAACCCAACCGACCCCAGCCTTAAAGGACCAGGAAACAAAACAAGGCCTCAGAAGACACTTTGCACATCTTTTAAATGGGGTGAGATTTCTTACAGTGGTCCTTGTGGACATTTCATTCACGGGTTAAGTTGTGACCGTTGCCTTATCATAAGATTTGGGTGTCGAATTAAGTAATATGCATGTTTGTCTTTCCACAATAGGTAGATCTCCGTTATAAGGCGGCGTCCCCGTTGTACAACATAAACCTGGTGGGGTATATCATTGAGGTAAGATGTTCGTCTCCAGTTGCTTTCTTTTACAAACATACAACACGTTTACTGAACACACTCTGGTATATCACAAGTAACGGTTACATTTCGCACTCTCTGATGCTGGTGTAAGGCCGTGCAGGCGCCTCACTGTACGGAGCCCCTAAACACAACGGATGGTGTGCCGTGTGTTAGTTAGCGTCACTGTACGGAGCCCCTAAACACAACGGATGGTGTGCCGCGTGTTAGTTAGCGTCACTGTACGGAGCCCCTAAACACAACGGATGGTGTGTCGCGTGTTAGTTAGCGTCACTGTACGGAGCCCCTAAACACAACGGATGGTGTGCTGTGTGTTAGTTAGCGTAACTGTACGGAGCCCCTAAAAACAACGGATGGTGTGCCGTGTGTTAGTTAGCGTCACTGTACGGAGCCCCTAAACACAACGGATGGTGTGCCGCGTGTTAGTTAGCGTCGCTGTACGGAGACCTAAACACAACGGATGGTGTGCCGTGTGTTAGTTAGCGTCACTGTACGGAGCCCCTAAACACAACGGATGGTGTGCCGCGTGTTAGTTAGCGTCACTGTACGGAGACCCTAAACACAACGGATGGTGTGCCGTGTGTTAGTTAGCGTCGCTGTACGGAGACCCTAAACACAACGGATGGTGTGCTGTGTGTTAGTTAGCGTCACTGTATGGAGCCCCTAAACACAACTGATGTTGTACTGCGTGTTAGTTAGCGTCGCTGTACGGAGACCCTAAACACAACGGATGGTGTGCTGCGTGTTAGTTAGCGTCCCTGTACGGAAACCCTAAACACAACGGATGGTGTGCTGCGTGTTAGTTAGCGTCACTGTACGGAGACCCTAAACACAACGGATGGTGTACCGTGTGTTAGTTAGCGTCACTGTACGGAGACCCTAAACACAACGGATGGTGTGCCGTGTGTTAGTTAGCGTCACTGTACGGAGACCCTAAACACAACGGATGGTGTGCTGCGTGTTACTAAGCGTCACTGTACGGAGACCCTAAACACAACGGATGGTGTGCTGCGTGTTAGTTAGCGTCACTGTACGGAGCCCCTAAACGCAACGGATGTTGTGCTGCGTGTTAGTTAGCGTCACTGTACGGAGACCCTAAACACAACGGATGGTGTGCTGCGTGTTAGTTAGCGTCACTGTACGGAGACCCTAAACACAACGGATGGTGTGCCGCGTGTTAGTTAGCGTCACTGTACGGAGCCCCTAAACACAACGGATGGTGTGCCGTGTGTTAGTTAGCGTCACTGTACGGAGACCCTAAACACAACGGATGTTTATCAGAATGGTAAAAGGTACTCCCACCAGCGAGATAAACAATTTTTAACATTGCAATAAAAGAATTACAGGAATACTAACATAATAATGTAATGATATTTCTAAAGACGGTATAATCATGAGACGCCATGCTCATGATTGATATGATCATTAATAAATACACATTCTCTCTCACTTCACCCAGAACGTCTGTGTGTATCAGTTACTGTATGTATCATGGTACTCAATGTATCAGTAACTGTATGTATCAAGGTACTCAATGTATCAGTTACTGTATGTATCATGGTACTCAATGTATCAGTTACTGTATGTATCAAGGTACTCAATGTATCAGTTACTGTATGTATCATGGTACTCAATGTATCAGTTACTGTATGTATCATGGTACTCAATGTATCAGTTACTGTATGTATCATGGTACTCAATGTATCAGTTACTGTATGTATCATGGTACTCAATGTATCAGTAACTGTATGTATCATGGTACTCAATGTACCAGTTACTGTATGTATCATGGTACTCAATGTATCAGTTACTGTATGTATCAAGGTACTCAATGTATCAGTATCGTGGTAGTATGTATCAGTTGTTGTATGTAATGGTACTCAATGTATCAGTTACTGTATGTATCATGGTACTCAATGTATCAGTTACTGTATGGATCATGGTACTCAATGTATCAGTTACTGTATGTATCATGGTACTCAATGTATCAGTTACTGTATGTATCATGGTACTCAATGTATCAGTTACTGTATGTATCATGGTACTCCATGTATCAGTTACTGTATGCACCATGGTACTCAATGTATCAGTTACTGTATGTATCATGGTACTCAATGTATCATTTAAGGATGAGCTGTCACCCAAACCGTTCCAAAACGCTATAGTTAATGAAACGAAGATAGAAGGCAACCAACTCCTCAATGACATCATCAACTGGAAGGCTGACACACCAGGGTTCCCTGACAATGACCACGTTGTTGTGTTCACGGCGTGAGTTGTTCCCGTCATCTGAAAATATATCTAGTTTACACTTCATCATCGTGTGTACAAAGCACCCTGTCTGTTCTGGTGCTTATTTTCATTCGTTGACTCGTTGCTTTATAGATGGCCCTGTAGAACAGCATGGTCCTATATTTGTGGTAATGACTAAGACTATGCCCTGATATATCTGATATTCTGTTCGGCGTTACCTAACTGACGAACAATGACCCTGTGTACATTATTGTAATGCTACTGTCTCCAGGAAACATTTGGTTTGTGTTCAAAGTTAATATCATGTGTTAGCACGAATTTGTTTCAGGCTCGACCTATTCGCTATAGCCGGAAACACCACAGACCTGCTTGGTGAGTGTAACTTTATAGGGCACCCATTGATTCAGGATTGAGAAAATCAAAATGTTTCAGACAATTAAATATATACCTTTGATAAAACCTCAAATAACAAATCTTATATATGCATTTAAAATGAAAGCACACTTTTATCATGATTATATAAATCGACTCTGGCTGATACATCAATGTGTATTATTCTTTTTCTCTTTCTTCTTTTTTGGGGGTGGGGTCATTCAAACCTATATTGCAAAGGAATGTCATGATCAATACTGTGCCAGCATGCCATGCGATTCGTGGAGACAACTAGAAGGCAATCAGTGATTCTGTTTCAAAATGTTATGCATGTCTTCCCAAGAAACGCAAGAAAAGACCCAAGAATATTAGAAAAATTGGCGTAACTCCTGATATGTGTTAATGCGTTTCATTGTTCCCACCCCTATATTGAAGTGGAACACTTTTATGGATAGACAACTTCTTTGTTGCAGTAGTAGTTGCGACGTTTCGGTGTAGATCCTAGCACCGTTATCAAGCAAATGATAATAACGGTGCTAGGATCTACATCGAAACGTCGCAACCACTACTGCAACAAAGATGTTGTCTATCTATAAATAGTGTTCCACTTCATCATACCAGCTTCTAATTGCCACTTAAGGAAGTTACACCCCTATATTGTTACAGGATACGCTGAAATAGGAGCAGTATGTGAGTACCCGGAAGACAGCGTGTCAGCTGTGGAGTACACAGACAACCTGGTGGACGATATGCTCGTCACAACACACGAAATCGGACATGCGTAAGTAGACTACGAAGACATTCAAGCACTGGCTTTGATCCGTCAGTGGTATAAAATGTTATGTAAATATCACGTAAAATGTACTACTTAGGTCCCGATCCACAAAACGACTTTCGTAAGTCTATGATAAACTATGGAGTTACGACAGGTCGTAACATTACGAACGAATTGTGGATCGGGACCCTGGTAAAGAGAAATGAATAATGAGCAAGTTGAGCTATTTTTGTTTGCCTCGTCGGATAAGACAGTTGCATGACAGTGAATTCAAAGCAATTTATCGGTTCAAATCCCTACATTGGTGCAGTGTGCGAAAGCCATTACGGCTTCAAATATTGCGAGCATAATGCTAAAATTAGGGTGTTATTTTATATCTTGGAAAATTAAACTGGTATTTCGCAGGCTCAGCGCCCTTCATGACGGGGACCAGAATACATGTAACTCTTCATACCAGTACATCATGTCCGGCTTTGGGTACAGCAGCACCCAAGTTCTTGACCACAACAACTACTACGTCTTTTCAACGTGTTCGTTAAGCTACATCCAAAACTTCATTCAAGGCATCCTGGCAAACGGGTTGGTATGAAAGGCGAAAGAGCCGTACAGGAATTTGTATCGAAACGTCGCACTCACGAAATATCCATAAAATGTGTCTATATTGTACTTCTCAACTTTTAAAATGTCTTTTAAAGAAGTTTCCATACCATGTCTGACGATAACCATATATACCTAGTTATATGTGATAAACTGCAACGATTTCAAAGTGTTGTATTTGTGCTAATGATTTACCAATAAAACACACTGAAATTAGTTTCGGGAACATGACGAATCTTTACACTACCTTTTGTCCACTGTTTTTCTTCACTGTAATTTCTAAAGTTTACATGAAATTTGACTTTTGTAAGTTCCGTGATTCTGTTGGCGTGTGTCATCACTGATCATCAGTGACTCGTTCATATAATAACTACCGATTGTTAACCTTGTACGCCCAATGGAATCTGCTTCGGCAGATGATCAATACTTGTTGCTTCAGGCGTTTATGTTTCATGTATATACTCAGTAACAATGTCAGTTTGTTTACCATTAGGTCTGCTGAAATAACTTTTCAAAGTATTTTTATCAAACACATGACTGTGCTAATTTGGTAAGGATAATGTGTACATTATAGGACTGACTTAGAGATAGTGTTCTCGCTTGGACCATTGGATCCTAGCACGACAAAGGGAAGTAGCTCTGCATATTGTGTTATACCAGCGTTAGCTGACTGACTGACTGAGTTTAGTTTTACGCCGCTTTGAGCAATATTCCAGCAATATCACGGCGGGGACGTCAGAAATGGGCTTAACACATTGTGCCCATGTGGGGAATCGTACCCGGGCCTTCGGCGTGACGAGCCAACGCTTTAACCACTAGGCTACCCCACCGCCCCACCAGCGTTAGCAACCAGGCCTCGTCATTGTAGTCATTATAACGACATGGTATGATATTTGCTACTGTCTTTGTGACTGAGATTGTGATATCTCCTGGATGATATCTAATGTGTGATATCTGTATATTTTTCAGTACAAATGCACAACAGGAATGCTTACAGAAACCACTCGAGCCGGTGTCTGTGACCAACATCACGGGGACGATGCCGGGACAGCTGTACGACGTCCACACACAATGTCAAATGATGTATGGGCCGGGCTACTTCTTGAGATTAGTAAGAAATCTATGTATCACAATCTGCCGATTGTCTGCTGATGTGTGTCATGTACTACACAGGTAATGATAACGTCAGAGGTGAATATACCTACTTAGGTGCACAGGTAATGATAAGGTCAGAGGTGAATATAATGTAATGATGACGTCAGAGGTGAATATACCTACTTAGGTGCACAGGTAATGATGACGTCAGAGGTGAATATACCTACTTAGGTGCACAGGTAATGATGACGTCAGAGGTGAATATACCTACTTAGGTGCACAGGTAATGATGACGTCAGAGGTGAATATACCTACTTAGGTGCACAGGTAATGATGACGTCAGAGGTGAATATACCTACTTAGGTGCACAGGTAATGATGACGTCAGAGGTGAATATACCTACTTAGGTGCACAGGTAATGATGACGTCAGAGGTGAATATACCTACTTAGGTGCACAGGTAATGATGACGTCAGAGGTGAATATACCTACTTAGGTCAGGTAATGATGACGTCAGAGGTGAATATACCTACTTAGGTGCAGAGGTGAATATACCTACTTAGGTGCACAGGTAATGATGACGTCAGAGGTGAATATACCTACTTAGGTGCACAGGTAATGATGACGTCAGAGGTGATATATATACTTAGGTGCGACAGGTAATGATGACGTCAGAGGTGAATATACCTACTTAGGTGCACAGGTAATGATGACGTCAGAGGTGACTTAGGTGCACAGGTAATGATAACGTCAGAGGTGAATATACCTAGAGGTGAATATACCTAATGCACAGGTAATACGTCAGAGGAGAATATACCTACTTAGGTGCACAGGTAATGATGACGTCAGAGGAGAATATACCTACTTAGGTGCACAGGTAATGATGACGTCAGAGGTGAATATACCTACTTAGGTGCACAGGTAATGATGACGTCAGAGGTGAGAATATACCTACTTAGGTGCACAGGTAATGATGACGTCAGAGGTGAATATACCTACTTAGGTGCACAGGTAATGATGACGTCAGAGGTGAATATACCTACTTAGGTGCACAGGTAATGATAACGTCAGAGGTGAATATACCTACTTAGGTGCACAGGTAATGATGACGTCAGAGGTGAATATACCTACTTAGGTGCACAGGTAATGATAACGTCAGAGGTGAATATACCTACTTAGGTGCACAGGTAATGATAACGTCAGAGGAGAATATACCTACTTAGGTGCACAGGTAATGATGACGTCAGAGGAGAATATACCTACTTAGGTGCACAGGTAATGATGACGTCAGAGGAGAATATACCTACTTAGGTGCACAGGTAATGATGACGTCAGAGGTGAATATACCTACTTAGGTGCACAGGTAATGATGACGTCAGAGGAGAATATACCTACTTAGGTGCACAGGGAAGAAACGTAACCTGAGTGTTATAAAATCATAGCTATCTGAAATGTAGGTCAAGATGTTGGCATTCAGTACAACACCAAATTATATGGTGGATGGTGAAGATATTTATTACATACATGGTTTTTATTTTTAGTTCTAGATTTGATTATATAGATCCTTTAAAACATTTATAGAGCCATGGCATATCTAGCAAACGTTACCAGCAAGAAACGTAGACATATAGTGATAAGATTTAGACATGGTCTGTCAGATTCAATTACTGATACTCAGTAAGTGAGTGAGTATGGTTTTACGCCGCTTTTAGCAATATTCCAGCAATATCACCAGAAGTGGGCTGCACACGTTGTACCCATGTGAGGAATCAATCCTGGACTTAGGCGTGACGAGCAAACGCTTAAACCACTAGGCTACCCCACTGTTCGATACTGATCGTAAACCGTCATTGAATAAACATTTAAGATTTTCGTCAATTTGTATAGAATGATTTATATTGAAAAGAGGATACTCTACAGAAATTGTTTGTCCAACCGTAATAGGGGAATACCTATCAGACTGCTATCACCAGAATCTTTCCATGTTAAACTACCCGTTTCTTACGCAATCATTGACATTAACAAAGAGTAAGATTTCTGCTGGTAACTAATTACACTATATTATGACATGATATCTGTAGTGTGCATGCTTTACCTGTCCTGATCTTCATCTACTACACACGTACAAAACCTTGAGCGAGTGAAATTAGATATACGCCGCACTCCGCAATATTCCAGCTATATGCCGGCGGTCTGTAAATAATCAAGTCTGGACCAGACAATCTAGTGATCAACAGCACGAGCATCGATCTACACAGTTGGGATACAATAACATGTGTCAACCAAGTCAGCGAGCCTGACCACCCGATCCCGTTAGTCGCCTCTTACGACAAGCATGGGTTACTGAAGACCAATTCTAACCCGTACCTTCATTGGTCTGCAAAACATTGAATGAATGCACCAGATATTCGCGGCGAAGTGCGAAAACTGCTTATGGTCGGTTTTCATTGTTTATTGTCTCAAAATGACGTTAGATATTTCATTTTCAATGAACGTGACATTTACAGGATGTCGATATTGGTGGTTCTGAAAACATATGCAAGAGAATGGCCTGTGGCAAAGAGGAGATTGAGATGTTCCACAACGCTGCCGATGGAACACCGTGTGGCAATAAAAAGGTACGTCAACTGTGTGTTTGTACTCACTCCGTCTTAACACCAGTACCTTGGACCTGTAAATGAATGAGTGAGTGAGTTTGGTTTTACGCCGCACTCGTAAGGAATATTCCAGCTAAATGGCGACGGTCTGTAAATAATCGAGTCTGGACCAGACAATCCTGTGATCAACAGCATGAACATCGATCTACGCAGCTGGGAACCGATGACATATGTCAACCAAGCCAGCGAGCCTGACCACCCGATCCCGTTAGTCGCCTCTTACGACAAGCATGGGTTACTGAAGATCAATATTCTAACCCGGATCTTCACGGGTGGACCTGTAAATGAAAACTGAATATATTTTCATCTATTGACTAGTTTAATAGTTGTTGCGAAGGTTTACAAATGTTATTACTACTTCTGCTCTGAGAACGACTGTGATAACTACAACTAATAGTAATATAACTACGACTCCTATTACAACATTTACGACTACGACTACTACTACTACTGCTACTTCTACTACTACTACTACTACTACTACTACTACTACTACTACTACTACCACTACTACTATTATTTCTCTTGCTGCTATATTTAGTAAAGACGACTTAGCTCTCTTTCACTATTATATACCTCTACCGGTAGTAGCAGTAGCAACAGCAGCAGCAGTAGTAGTAGTGGTAGTAGTAGTAGTGGTGGTAGTAGTAGTAGTAGTAGTAGTAGTAGTAGTAGCACTAGCAACAGCAGCAGCTGCAGCAGTAGTAGTAGTAGTAGTGGTAGTAGTAGTAGTAGTAGTAGTAGTAGTGGTAGTGGTAGTGGTAGTGGTGGTAGTAGTAGTAGTAGTAGTAGTAGTAGTAGTAGTAGTAGTAGTAGTAGTAGTAGTAGTAGTAGTACTTTATATAATATAATAATCTTTATTTGCACTGAGAAGGCCACAGGCCTATAGTACATAAAGTTATGTTACATTTGAGAGGAATTTACATCGGGTAATAGCATAGTAAATGAACATTGAAATATTTTGTAGAAGAACTGGATTTTTACTACTTAACAATGAGGAGAATTTTATCACATTTGGATGGACATAGTAATATCTTTTAATATATTTTGTTCGCAACCGGTCATAAAATGGACATATTAGGAGAAAATGTAATTCATCTTCTATTTCGTTTAAATTACAAAGTGTACATATTCTATTTTCTCTTTTTACATTCATATATCTGCCTCTTTCAATCAACAAATCATGAGAAGAGCATCTGAATCGTGCCAGTGCTATTCTAAACTTTTTAACATTAACACAGGATAGATATGACTCAAGAACTATGGCATTTTTAAACAATGGATAATACATGCATTTATTTGATAAGGATATCCTTTCACTCCATGTTTGAATATACATATCTTTTAATCTTGTCGTTAAGGATTGTATGAATAACGTAGGTGATTCGACATATTGTGTATTCCATGTAATTCCAAAACCAATAGAATATAAAAAGGTTTTTACATTAGTTGCCCAGTTCTTTTGTCCACCTTTATCATATAACAACATCATATTATAACACTTCTTGGGTAAGCGATTTGAAGGCATAATCAGCAGTTTTAGCCAGTACTTAATAACTTTAATGCTTGTAAGAATGTGCATTGGGTACCTACCGCATTCACCATAAATCACTGCGTTAATAGTGTTAATTTTAACTCCGAGGAACTTTTGCATGCGTATAAATGGATTTTTCAATTTCGTCAAATTTTGTTATTCCCCAAATTTCGGCCCCATATGATAAAATTGGACTGACTTTGGCATCAAATATTTTAAAGAATGAACAGTAGTTAATATTACCAAGTATACTCAACTGTTTCATAATTCCAATTAATGCTTTTGTCCCTGTAACGCTGCATATTTTACATGCCTCGTCCATGACAGGCCACTGGTGAAATATAGTCCCAAATATTTATAAAAGCCAATACACTCCAGCTGCATACCTTTATATAACCAGTTTTCCTTTTTGACAATTTGCCTCCAGTTTTGAATACAACAATTTTCGTTTTCTCTATTTACAGTTAATTTCCATTTATTGCAGTAATTTTCAAGTTCATTAATTTGATTCTGTAAGCCATTAATCGTGCTTGAGAACAAAACAATGTCATCTGCAAATAGCAATAGGAAAATATGAACTATGTCAGGGTGGAGTTGAATCCCGTGTACACAATTAGTTTCAATTTGTCGTGCTAACTCATTTATAAAAAGGAAAATAGAAATGGGCTTAGTATACAGCCTTGTCTCTCACACCAAGTTGCAAGTCGAATGTTTCTGAATAATTATGATTACTTTTAATGCAAGACTTGACATTTTCATACATATTGCTTAAAAGTTTACTCATTTTACCACTGAGACCGTGGGTATTAAATAGAAGCCAAAGTTTTTTTCGTTGTATTGAATCGAAAGCTTTTGAAAAATCTACAAATAGTGCGTAGAATTTCCCCCCTTTAGAGTTTAAATACCTTTGAATAATACTTTGCAGTATAAACATATTATCTACTGTCGTATATCCCTGTCTGAAGCCAGCTTGCGCTTCGCTGATCTTATCCATTGAGTCTCCCCAGTTTACAAGTATTTTATTTATAATAAAGGTGAAAGTTTTACTAAATATGCTCAGTAGTGTTATGCCTCTGTAATTATTTGGATTATTTATATTACCTTGTTTATGGATAGGAACTATTATGCCAATTGCCCAACATCTGGGGAACGTGCCAGTTTCTAATATCAAATTAAAAAGTAGTAGTAGTAGTAGTAGTAGTAGTGGTGGTAGTGGTAGTGGTAGTAGTAGTAGTAGTAGTAACCACGACCCGGTTATATCCGTGTATCCCCCCAGTTTCTTACAAACATAAGATCTCTGTGTGTTGCAGTGGTGTGTTGCTGGGGAGTGTGTGTTTTCCATAGATGCACCGGGACAAAACAATCGTAAGTGTAGATCAAAAGTTTTAACGTATTAAATTATTTTTAGGCATAAGTCATTCTGCTTTTATGTATCCATCTTTATCACGTGTGTCACGTGACTCGCTGTGGTCGTAGACGTCCATTTTGAAACATGCACATGTATGTATGTATGCGCGCGTGCGTGCGTATGTACGTACGTATGTATGTATGTCTGCTGTATGTATATTTGCCCCTGTGCGTGGGCGCGCGAGTGTGATCTTGAACACCTTCTTGGACTAAATCATTTCGCTGAATTCAATGATCATTTTGGGGAACTATTTTCAGCCGACTGTCTCTATGGAAACCAGCCTGTCGTGTACCCTCAAAACAGGACCTGTGATGAGCTGATCAGCGCGACTCCCCGTCTGTGCTACACGTCTTATTATGGTGTCTGCTGTGAGGCGTGTCTCGACAACAAGAAGAATGACGGTATTTCTACTGATAGTGATCTGTTTCTGGTCATATTTCCTAGTTTATATCTAATATGCTTCACATCCAAATGGATTTGATACCACAGTGTCTATATACCATACATATCTTCAGTCCTGTCAAATCTGGTATCACATATCAGCAATGGAAATCAAGTCATTCACTAATTCAAACAAGCTGTACGACAAAGGGAATCAAGTCAATGTTCCGTGAGTTATACCATCGTGTCGGTCAAGATGTCATCTCTAGGTCATTGCGTCTACAGTCTCAAATTGCTTAGGTACGACTCGTAAATTGATTTGGATTTCATTATATTTTGTCTTATTTATCTAAAGTTCATTTATTTCATCAGAAATGTTACCATTAATTTCTGGTGAATATGAACCGCGAAGATCCGGGTTAGAATCGGTCTTCAGCAGAATCGGTGGTCAGGCTCACTGTCTTGGTTGACACATTTGATCGTATCCCTACTGCGTAGACCAATGCCCATGTTGTCAATCATGAGGTTGTCTGGTCCAGACAAAAAATTGCGATAAACAAAGTACAATCAAACAAAATAAAATCTTGAGAGCATGGACATGTTTGACTGTTGTGACTACCAGAGGTTTGAAATAAACACAATGGTACGCCTATACAACTAAGTCTAGTGGTTTCTCATGTGTACTGGTATATTGTGTATATTCTAGAGAACTGCCTGTATGGAGATCGCTATGTTGACTGTGACACGGTCATAACACAGAACACCACACGCCTGTGTTACAATGAAGACAATGCTGAAGGGTGTTGTGAAACATGTTCTGCTTTTGTTTCGTCATTAGGTAAGTACAAGAATTTTGGAGAATTTGTTTTTCGAAGGATATTATAAAGACGAACACCGGTTCTAGACATGAAAACAAGATATTTTTTCCTAAAATCCTACGAAAAATGAATTATCTTGATAATCCAAACATGTATTAAAGTATACTTGGATCAAATTTCTATCTGAACTTAGTACAGTTACGCGTACTCTCTCTCTCTCTCTCTCTCTCTCTCTCTCTCTCTCTCTCTCTCTCTCTCTCTCTCTCTCTCTCTCTCTCTCTCTCTCTCTCTCTCTCTCTATATATATTCAATATACTCTCTCTATATATATATACATGTGTGTGTGTGTGTGTGTGTGTGTGTGTGTGTGTGTGTGTGTGTGTGTGTGTGTGTGAGAGCTATATTCAATACTTAGTCGTATATTGGTTTCAGCAAATTGCACATATGGCGACCGTTCTAACTGTACAGCTGTAACCAAGGATAAGAGGAATCTGTGTTACAACGAAAACAACGCTTACATCTGTTGTGAAACTTGTTCAAGATACGCGTCGGAAGATCGTGAGTACAGAAAATAAGTAGCTTCAGTGCCCCGCTGTTTTCAGTTCAGGGCACAGCTATAGTGCTGATTAATTACCACAATTAGGGTTAAAACCACAATTAGGGTTAAGCTGTGGTCAACCGAACCAAGGATCACCGGATCCTGGCACGGCGCAAGGGAAGTCATTGTTTAGTTAGATACTACGTCACATCATGTGTGTTAAACTCTTGAATTTAATTACACATTCTTTATATCAGGTCACTGAGAGCCTTTTGGCCATACAGAGTTGCTTCCCTTAGCCGAGCCAGGATCCACTGCTGGTTATAGTGAGTTCGGACCCTGTCCTAAACCACAAACTGGGCTCAGGCATTACCTCCATGTTGAAAGTTATGTACGTCATATACAAATTCAAATTATGTTACAGTGTTTACTATGGGTATACCTTGTCACAGTTATGATCATGTTGTCGGGCGGTGGGGTAGCCTAGTGGTTAAAACGTCCACTCGTCACGCCGAAGACCAGGTTCGATTCCCAACATGGGCACAATGTGTGAAGCTCATTTCTGGAGTCCCCTGCCGTGATATTTATGGAATATTGCTAAAACGCGGCGTAAAACTAAACTTACTCACTCACTATGGTCATGTTAGAGTAGGTGAGCGAATACGTGAACGTTGTATAATGGTCAGCAACACAACACAGCGATCTGTAAACAGTAGTGAACGAGTCAGACTATTGATTATCATTATATATATCCTGCTGTCTGATTGTTCAGTCGCCATCATAATCACATCCTCACAAGTGGGTCGGCCTGCCTGTTAGGACAGGGTGACGTCATATGACGCCATCGTCTTGTTCATCACTTATACTTCACAACCAATTTACCACATTGAACACTGGGGATCGCGAGGCAGATTTGATATTGTCCTACAAACATATTTCACTAAAACATCTCTGTATTTCTGCAAACGCAATAATTTATTCGTTACATATGTCAATAGTGGAATGTACCGGGTTAAATATAGTGGAATGTACATTCTCGAATCTCGACCTTCAACCTTCAGTGTGGACATTCCTATCCAACTCGTTCAATTCCGCACACCTGTCTAGTAATACAGGTAACCCATAGTGACTGACGTCACTCAATATTTATTCCTTGTGACATTTAGTATATTTTCAACAGCAAATTGCACTTATGGCAATCGCTACTCTTCGTGTACTGCTGTGACGAACCAAACCAGATCCCTGTGTTACGATGAACAGAACGCCAACGGCTGTTGTGAGACCTGTGCAGCCTACTCGTCCCCTGTTGGTAAGTATAGACATGGCGCAGCTGATTGAAAGTTAGATCTAGTACAATCGAACACCGTTGTCTCGAGTTTGAAAGGACCTATGTATCTACTTTGAGTAATCGGATGCTCGACACAACCACAGGATGATGACCTTTTACTTGAGACAATGGTAAGTTCGACACATCAGTGTGACTGCAGTAGGTCATGTGGTTTGTGTTGTGGTATGTCTTTATGATGGTTTCGGTGGGTCATCTCGATCACAATGGATTGTTTTGCAACATCGGTAGCAGCTATGGATATCAAGGTGGCATGGTTCTCTATTCGACTACTTGAAGTGAACCCGTGAAGATCCGGGTTAGAATGTATCTTCAGCAAGCCACGCTTGTCGTAAGAGGCGACTAACGGGATCGGGTGGTCAGACTCGCTGACTTGGTTGACACATGTCATCAGTTCCCAATTGTGTAGATCGATGCCCATGCTGTTGATCACTGGATTGTCTGATCCAGATGGATCAGAAGATAAGCCTTGACGATTCGCACTGTCACCAACCTTTCCATCTCTTTGCAAAGTTCCATGCCTTTACCCAAGTTTGTGTTTCTTTGTATTCTGACGACTGCATTTTTTTTCCAGCAAATTGCACGTATGGTGATCGTCTTTCTGACTGTTTTTCTCTGGCCAAAACAACGGATTTCCTATGCTATAATGAAAACATTTACTTGGGCTGTTGTGAGACTTGCTCAACCTTCTCGACAGGAGGTGGTAAGATCAGGGCAATGATCCGGTGGGGGTTCCGGACGATTTACTCTATCATTCATGCTGTTAATTCAAGTCAATCGAAGCTTTGGGGAATCGCGTACGATATCCACACACCGAAATGATGACGACCATAGGTCGAACATACATTTATCTATTATTTACAATGATAATGTTACCAACTGCACTGTTACACTAATCTATTGATAACTATATTTCTTCTATGATAGGGTTGTTGGTTACGATAAGCTACATCTGTATCACCAATTCAACATGTCATGATAAATGACAACATGACAACATCCAGTCCACACTTATACAAAACTATCCATTCTACAAGATTCCATCCACACTGACAATGTACACTATTGATGTAGTTGTTACAGACAAGTTTACCGACAATACGTCCATATTTTCTCTCATGTGCTATAAGCATCTGAAAATATTAGTTCATTTCGTAAAGTTTGTAGCATGTCGCACGTTGGTCAGACGTTGGAGTGGACTTCGTGGGTTCGAATCTCCCCGGCGACATAGTTGTCTCTGAGATCAGGAGATCATCACGGGTAAAAAGAAGATCGGTCATTGCCATCTGGCCTTTAACTGACAATTCAACTGATCATGTCCCGCAAAATACAAATAGACACGTCCATTTTAATGACGGATTTCACGATGGTCAGCGAAGTGTATTCCTGTAATTATGACAGACGAATATGTTCAACACTATTATACCAATTTAGTAACTCTGTTGCAGACTGTCCCTATGGCGACAATACCTTAATTGGCCCATGCGTACAGAGCAGCTGTGCAACTTCCGGCTCCGACTACAGAAAGAGGTGTTGTGACACTTGTAGCAGTTTTACGACACAATCTACAACTACTACTAATACTACTCTACCAACCACAACTACATCAACAACTACCACGACTACAACTACTACACCAACTACATCAACAACTACGACGACTACAACTACTACACCAACAACAACCACACCAACTACTACCACAACTACAACTACTACACCAGCTACATCAACAACTACGACGACTACCACCACCAACAACCACACCAACTACTACCACAACTACAACTACTACACCAACTACATCAACAACTACCACGACTACACCACCACCAGCAACCACACCAACTACTACAACAACTACAACTACTACACCAACTACATCAACAACTACCACGACTACACCACCACCAACAACCACACCAACTACTACAACAACTACAACTACTACACCAACTACATCAACAACTACCACGACTACACCACCAACAACCACACCAACTACTTCCACAACTACTACACCAACTACATCAACAACTACCACGACTACACCACCACCAACAACCACACCAACTACTACAACAACTACAACTACTACACCAAGTACATCAACAACTACCACGACTACAACAACACCACCAACAACAACCACACCAACTACTACCACAACTACTACACCAACTACATCAACAACTACCACGACTACACCACCAACAACAACAACCACACCAACTACTACCACAACTACAACTACTACGTCAACAACTACCACGACTACAACAACTACTGCAACGCCAACTCCAACCACAACTATCTCAAGAAGAGAGTCAAGTTCACCTACAACCACATCAACACCAGCAGCAGCAGCACCTCCTGCAGCCACACCGGGCTTTCCTCCCAGTGGTCAGTATAACAGATTTCTTACTTGTCCTCGGGAACAAATGCTTGTGGTTAGATGTAACAAATGTGGATCAGATGGTTGTGCTCGATGCTTGTGGTTAGATGTAACAAAGGTAGATCAGATGGTGGTGCACGATGCTTGTGGTTAGATGTAACAAAGGTGGATCAGATGGTTGTGCTCGATGCTTGTGGTTAGATGTAACAAAGGTGGATCAGATGGTTGTGCTCGATGCTTGTGGTTAGATGTAACAAAGGTGGATCAGATGGTTGTGCTCGATGCTTGTGGTTAGATGTAACAAGGTGGATCAGATGGTGGTGCACGATGCTTGTGGTTAGATGTAACAAAGGTGGATCAGATGGTTGTGCTCGATGCTTGTGGTTAGATGTAACAAAGGTGGATCAGATGGTGGTGCTCGATGCTTGTGGTTAGATGTAACAAAGGTGGATCAGATGGTTGTGCTCGATGCTTGTGGTTAGATGTAACAAAGGTAGATCAGATGGTGGTGCACGATGCTTGTGGTTAGATGTAACAAAGGTGGATCAGATGGTGGTGTTCGATGACTTGTTTCATTGCATGTTATCCTACAGCCAACAATGTGAATCTCACCATCATACCATCAACAACTGATTTGATTATACAATGACATTCAGAAAGTGGTAAAATGTAATGGTATGTTGCATTTGGGATTACACTTTCTCGGAAAGTACAGGTTCTAATACATTTTGGAGTTGAGTCCCATCCGGGATTCGCACCTACACTTTAGAGTCAGGCACGTATGTGCGTTAGATCGCTGACTTCTCTCTGAGGTTGTGGGTTCGAATCCTGGATGGAGCTGAACCCAAAACAGCACAATAATCTATGCTTTAAGAATCTCTGAAAGTCATTAAAACATGAAATGGTTGGGTTTTTTCAGAAGTGTTGTTTTCCGGGACAAGTTCTGCAACGAATCCATTTATGCATGCTTCACACGAACGCAACATTAATAACATTCTCTGCTCCCCTATTTAGTGAAGTTAACTCGACCTGCCGTTTGTGCCTTTTGACCTCCCGGGCCATGCATATGTAGAGTAGCTCAGGTCAAGCTGAACACGCTTTTTTAGTAATTCTGTCTCAACCGACAAGCGATAAAGTGAAGTGCCGCATTTAGCCCCACTGCGGTGTGGAAATGATCGAGTCCGGCAGGATCAACAGCGTGACCAACTACCAACAACGCCGGGGAACAATCAAGAATATGGAGCCAGAAAACCCTGCCGCCAGTTTCACGTTTAGTATTTGTATACTCCAAAGAAACAATAAGTTATGTTGATACACATAAATTTATGGTAATTAGAAATAAACGATATGAACTTTAAATGAGGTAATTAATTACGTGCAACATTCGTTTGTTTTTTTTCCAGATTTCTTAACAGAACCACAAAAAATACTGATTGGAGCGAGCTTCGCGTTAGGCCTGGGGATCCTCGTGATCATTGCTGTCGTCTTCTGTGTTAAACGGTATGTACAGTATTCTTCTTTAAAGAGTTAATCTATATATGTATCGTGTCATCTCCCGGAGGTAAGGGCGTTAAGTAAAGCAAGCATGTAGATAGTTTCCACTATCCTACTCTCAAATATCTCTCTTTTTCGTTTTGTGTTGGTTTGGTAAATTGTTTGGTTGTATAAAGGTCGGGGCAGACTATGGGCCCGGTGCATTGAACTTAATGTGTTCTTTCTTCTTCAGACTGAAGTAATTTGTTTCAGTCAATATTTAGAAGGACAATATCGTATCGTATAAGAAAAGTCTGAAACAGCACCATGGCGGCAACACGTGACTGTGACCCACCTCAAAATAATTGTCTATTAACTATACACTATGTGCAAACGAACAATGTTGAAACTGAAATATGTTTTGAAACTGTTAATACCAAGATCACGTTACCATGAACGTTAAATCTGTTATCAGTTGGATAAATATGCGAGTCCACTCTTTCAGAGGCATTTGTGGAACATGGACCAAAGAAAAAGCTCCACAGATGCGGACTGAAGACGTGGATTACACGGCTCCCCCTCTGGGAGTGTCTTCTCGGGGGTACTCCACGTACCAGCCACGGTTCTAATGTTGGTGGATGGGCTAAGCAATAGTACCGAGTACAGGTTCATCACATTGATGTACAATCATAGTTTCAAGCAGCAGCAGTGTGTGTGTGTGTGTGTGTGTGTGTGTGTGTGTGTGTGTGTGTGTGTGTGTGTGTGTGTGTGTGTGTGTGTGTGTGTGTGTGTGTGTGTGTGTGTGTGTGTGTGTGTGTGTGTGTGTGTGTGTGTGTGTGTGTGTGTGTGTGTGTGTGTGTGTGGTGTGGTTGGACGGTGACCGTGCGTGTGTGTAACTTAGGTGGGGTAGTGGTTTTGGTTTGGGGATTGGCTCATTGGTTTACCACAGATGTGCTCACAAGAGCTCAACCACGACTACAAGATGAATATTTTTTCAACCATTATTTACAATATATATTTCAACAAATCCAGACTTCTTTAAGTCGCCATTTTACTATTCAAGCATATTTTGGGCGCTATTTTACGTCTATTTGTTCGCCACAGTTCCAACAATGTCAAGCAGTGACTGTTTTGATCTGAGTAAATGTGCGTCTACTTTTTAAAAGTAAATGTCATTCAGTCAAATTATACTCATGGAAACGCATAAGGGAACACATGAAAGTACAAGTGTTCCTTTATTCTTTTCCAGGTTTCTTCGCAAGGTATGTATTGCACTGTGGGTGAAATTCTGGAAATATATACAGGAACACTTGTACTTTCATGTGTTCCCTTATTCGTTTCTTATTTGAGTATAGCTTTCATAACTTCATAATCGCCATTAGACGTCAAAATTAGATCAACTTACCATACTTACACATCACTGAATTTCAGTGATTCTTTCATATACGCATCGTCGCTACCTGCCCCCTTAAGCTTACTAGAATTGTTTCGGCTGATAATTAGGAATCATTATTCTTTGGCGTTCATGTTCATGTACTAGCATACAATCTGTGATCGAGATTTACCGTTCACCTCTTCATCATCATATTGGTCAGTTTACAAAAAGATTCTGCAAAAATCGAGATTTACCTTTCTCCACTTTGTCGTTCATATTGTTGTGTTTATAAACAGATTCTTTTAACCACTACATGAACCATTTCAACAAACATCAGATGTCTGCGAGTTTTCCCATGATAACTGTCAATCAATGGCACATGTGTGACATTTAATACTTTGTCTAGTTTCACAATATACACACTTCATTTTGTTTGTAATTCCCAACTGAATAAAGAAGGTTCGTTTTACGTGTTTTTTTTACCTTTCACAGAAAATTTAATAGAAACATTTCTCCAGTACGTATTTCAAATCAATTCAATCACAAAAAATGGCAACGTGTATCATGTTCAAAACACTAACTTGGCACAAGGCTCGTTGGTGTTATTAACATGGCCCCATCGTGTCGGGCTTTTCCCCCACAGCAAACAGACACGGGACCCGTGAAGGTCCAGGTTAGAATTGGTTTTCAGTAACCCATGCTTGTCGTAAGAGGCGACTAACGGGATCGGGTGGTCAGACTCGCTGACTTGGTTGACACATATCAAAGTATCCCATTTGCCTAGGTCGATGCTCATATTGCTGGATTGACTGGTCCAGACTCGATTATTTACAGACCGCCGCCATATAGCTGGAATATTGCTGAGTCAACCATCAAACCATCCAACCAACCAGTCAATCCGATTTGGCCAGACAATGAGTTCACACGTAAACAGGGGTGGTTCGATTTCTTAAAGCCCAGAATAAACATACGTATTTTGAGTTTGGTTTATCAACTCCCTGCAATGGCAAGTCTTAAAAATACCATTTGCATAAACATTGCACCGATAAAGACAGTTCATTGCTCGATTGTGATTATATGACAAGCATGTATCCACGAATCCACATTTAACGTGTAATATATGTATTGCATACATACATGAAAACAGAAACTTAATATAATCATTAATCATTTTATCCAGAAGATTGTATGTTAACATACTGGCTCATTTGTGAAAATATTGTCATTATCACACATATACCTGTATACATACGGTGAACTACGCTTGTAACGAACACTGATATAGGTGGATATGCCGAACTGTTTCCTTGGTCGTGATCACTTGCAGTATAGTTCAGTCGTAACGCGTATAGCGAACTACGATTAAAACGAACTAAAAGTGGTTCCTCTGAGTTCGTCATAAATGCTGTTCTCTATATACAGCTGCATCACTCAATCAAATCATTGGGAATAGACGACAGCCTATGAATCCACATAAGTACACTCGTACTGACAATAGCATGCATGAAAACTGCACATATTCCGGGACATAATCACCGCGTGTAGTACAACACTATCGTATGACTACACACAGCGGCTTACATGTGTATTGTAACGGTTCTTCAAATGGCGAATTTGTACAAAGGAATATTAGCCCTGAGGTGATCGTAAATGCCATATCTTAACATAGGTGTATACTTTCTTCATTACCACACTGGCTCTGCTACCTGGTGACAACAATGTGCCTGCGATTACCAACAGATCTTGATCTGCTCCTACTGTCAGTTGTGTCAGAGCTTTAAATGGCACATGGGAGAGAGCGCCAAAGAACAGGTGCAGAGTAAGACAGCGATCGGTGTCCAAAGGATTTCAGTTTGTAGGATGGGATGACCAGTCGATTATATGTGTTTGAGCGCAAGTTGCATGCAGGCACATACGGATGTAGGAGGTCAGACAAGAAGGAGGGAGCCAAACTATGGAGGCACTTGTATGTCAGACAGAGGATCTTAAAGTCAATTCTGGCCCTAACTGGTAGCCAATGCAGTTCGTTCAACACCGGTGTTATATGGGAACGATTAGAAGTCTTGCTGGTGATGCGGGCGGAAGTGTTTTGGATCTTCTGAAGCTTATCAAGGAGGTTAGAACTGAGGCCTGAAAGGATGCTGAAAAGAGCTCCAAAAAGGGCTTGAGTTGCAGCAGTTGTCAGGTATTGCCAAATGTTACCAATGGATCTTAGGTGAAAGTAGCAGGTCCTGCTCAGGCGGTTAACATGAACATCCAGAGTCAAGGAAGTGTCTGTGTGGACACCCAAATCCTTAACAACGTCAGAGAAACTGACATCTGCGTCTGCGACTGTAAGGAAGTCGGTTTTTAACTTGCTAAGTTTGTACCAATGAGAACTGGTTCTGTTTTTGTGTCATTAAGTTTAAGCATGTTTGCTGTCATCCAGCACTTGAAGTCCTGCGTACATTCAGCGATGCACTGAAGAGACGTGGAGAGATCTGACAGATGAAATGCTTTCAGGAGCTGGGTGTCATCAGCGTAGGCATGGTGAGAAACTGTGTGGTCTGTAGTAATCCTTCCAACATATCCGGTATACAACACAAACAGGACTGGGACAAGGACTGGTCCCTGTGGCACCCCACATGTGACTACAGCGCCTTGGAAACATGGAAAACGAAAATGCTTTGCAGATAAATGCATAATGTTAACCGTGCTTGTTCTAGACGAGAATGAACAATATGCACATATGTATCACATATGCACCCAGGACATACGGGACACAGGCTCAGTCCTCTCTTAGAATCCTCACAGGTAAACTGAAAAAGCTCAAGAATCTTAAGCAACCCTACACACCTAAAGCTAAAGCAATAACTAACAAACTATAAATCATCTTTTGCACAAATTATCATGATAAAGAAATAATGACCAAACACACGAAGATCAACGCTGCTAGTCACGTGATCTCAAATAAAGGACACTCTTGCGGAATTAGAGTTAGGAAAAGCACCAGCAGTTTCGTGTGAATTCTAAAAACTATCTAATATTTTTATAATGTTGATATTGAACAAAGCTGTTCATAGCGCAGTGTCTCAAGCATGTTCATCGTGCTCTGATTATTCTACCATTGATCAATTCTTAGCGTTAGAGACAATATGTTCGTATTTCCTGATTATTCTACCATTGATCAAATCTTAGCGTTAGAGGCAATATGTTCATTTTCCTGATTATTCTAGTATTAATCAAATCTTAGCATTAGAGGCAATATGTTCATTTTCCTGATTATCTACCATTGATCAAATCTTAGTGTTAGAAGCAATATGTTCATTTTCCTGATTATTCTACCATTAATCAAATCTTAGCGTTAGAGGCAATATGTTCATTTTTCCTTATCATTCTACCATTCATCAAATCTTAGCATTAGAGGCAATATGTTCATTTTCCTGATTATTCTACCATTGATCAAATCTTAGTGTTAGAGGCAATATGTTCATTTTCCTGATTATTCTACCATTGATCAAATCTTAGCGTTAGAGGCAATATGTTCATATTCCTGATTATTCTAGTATTAATCAAATCTTAGCATTAGAGGCAATATGTTCATTTTCCTGATTATCTACCATTGATCAAATCTTAGTGTTAGAGGCAATATGTTCATTTTCCTGATTATTCTACCATTCATCAAATCTTAGCATTAGAGGCAATATGTTCATTTTCCTGATTATTCTACCATTCATCAAATCTTAGCATTAGAGGCAATATGTTTATTTTCCTGATTATTCTACCATTGATCAAATCTTAGTGTTAGAGGTAATATTTCATTTTCCTGATTATTCTACCATTCATCAAATCTTAGCATTAGAGGCAATATGTTCATTTTCCCTTATTATTCTACCATTGATCAAATCTTAGCATTAGAGGCAATATGTTCATTTTCCTGACTATTCTACCATTGATCAAATCTTAGCATTAGAGGCAATATGTTCATTTTCCTGACTATTCTACCATTGATCAAATCTTAGTGTTAGAGGCAATATGTTCATTTTCCTGACTATTCTACCATTGATCAAATCTTAGCATTAGAGGCAATATGTTCATTTTCCCTTATTATTCTACCATTGATCAAATCTTAGCATTAGAGGCAATATGTTCATTTTCCTCATTATTCTACCATTAATCGAATCTAGCATTAGAGGCAATATGTTCATTTTTCCTGATTATTCTACCATTAATCAAATCTTAGCATCAGAGGCAATATGTGCATTTTTTCTGATTATTCTACCATTCATCAAATCTTAGTATTAGAGGCAATATGTTCATTTTTTCTGATTATTCTACCACTGATCAAACCTTAGTATTAGAGGCAATATGTTCATTTCTCCTGATTATTTTACCATTGATCAAATCTTAGCGTTAGAGGCAATATGTTCATTTTTTCTCGAAATCTATGCTGCTTGTGAACATGGTGTATTTGTTCCCTAAATTATTGAAAATTATTGTAACTTTTATCTGTCGATGACGTTGTACTTTCCTCGAATACTGTTCGAAGTTTGCAGGGACAGATAGACGTTTTAAAGACATACTGTTCTAAATGGAGATATTTTGTAAAACTAATAGATTGAATGTTATTATACCTAGAAATGGAGGGGAAATATCACAGATTGGATTGTGGTCACTAGGCAATGTGCGGTAATGGAACCAATTTGGGATTTGTTCAGTAATAACAGCTTGGCAGATTGCTTGTAAAATATTTGATAGCAAAATGATTCAAATATTGAAGTAAGATATGGAAATAGTATGTACATATGTATGTATTTGTGTACGTGCGTGTGTGTGACGCTTAAACTGTGTGATGAGATTGGTTAAATTAATTGGGCATTGTATGTGAGACACATGTTAGGCAATATTGGTTTCGCGTATGTGTAGTACACCAAGAGGTCTGTGATAAGTGTTTTTGTCATCAGTTAGAAGACGCTTAAGTATTATATTTTTTCAAATATAGTACCAAGTTTCAGTACATTATGCCAATTTTCTTCTGCAAACCGAATGACATATAACTGTACTCGATGTGTACATTTCGGATATCCTTTCACAGATTTTGAGTCAACATTACTCGTAAAAGGTCATTGTTGAATACACTTCACACAAAATATGTATGTAAAGTATGTGATCTTCAGTTATTTGCAGATGAATACCTTTTTGTATTAAAAAAATATATTCAATTCAGAAACAGATTTCTTACCTCATTGCAGAAGAATTACAAAGGTAGAATTACGTCTGCAAACATATTTAACTCATGTGACATTAATGCGTTACGCTTGGTGGTTATATATTTATGTTAATTGTTTAAACTGACATCGACAAATTGTAAAGCTCTGTACATGTGGCATATATGTGGTTTTCTTACAACTGTACTATTCGCCATGTGACATACATAAAGTACTACACCTGAATGGTTACGCGAAAAAACGCCTGTAAATCCGATCTAACACACCTTAATCTTCAGCTTGAACAGGTGATATTAGCAAACCAAACACACCTCTCTAATACCCCAGTCGGACACAGTCAAAGCAACTGATATTGCTCCTACACAATAACAAAACCTAAACCCAAGTCTTTAGAACGGTAACATTGACGGCGTATGTCGTGGCTGACTATGAAAAGTGAGCTGTGGTTTCCCACCCATAGCGGGTGGTTCACACTGTATAAACCAGACACTGTCGGCATTGAAGCGAATACAGGTGTGTCTACGCGAGACAGTTTGGAGCTATCAAAGCTACACCATCGTCGAATATGGAACATAACTGAAATACCTTTTTCCGAAAATGAGAGTCCTTATCCTGTTCATCCTGAGTCGGTTTGGATTGTGCCAAGACAGTGAGTTCAAAAACTTATTATTATTATTATTGGATGTTTATATAGCGCACATATCCACGCACTAGTGCATGCTCAAGGCTATGAAATATATCACGTATGATGAGTGTTTTTAATATAGCTCATGATGTGTCAATAATATTCGCTCTGCTGTAACGTAAATGTCGGTGTACTTGTGACCATTGAGGTATGTTCGTTGTGAAATATCTAGATCTCAGTTGGATGGTAAATGACATCTACCGACCCCATCATGAGATATCTAGATCTCAGTTGGATGGTAAATGACATCTACCGACCCAATCATGAGATATCTAGATCTCAGTTTGATGGTAAATGACATCTACCGACCCCATCATGAGATATCTAGATCTCAGTTGGATGGTAAATGACATCTACCGACCCCATCATGAGATATCTAGATCTCAGTTGAATGGTAAATGACATCTACCGACCCCATCATGAGATATCTTTGCGTAAGCGGAGTAATAGTAGGATTCCGACTATATTCCGATTATAAATCACTACAACGTGTTGCCAGGTGACACCAGGTGCTCGCCAAACGTCATCACATTCTGCCCCACTGGCGGCACTTGTTGTCATTAGGTCTCACAGATACCATTCATATTGTATCTCACTGTCATATTTGTCTTCTGTATAAATTCAGAAAGTCACGGTTTCAAAAAAAACCCTCCGATGTCATTCATACAGTCTGTCGTGGTCCTACATAACCTGTTCTATTCATCACGCCAGTGTTCAGTGGGGTGAGGAGAAATGAGTTCAACACTCCCCTTCACACGTGACTATATCTAAGGTTTAACTATATGACAGTGGCCTGTAAATACCATGTCTGGCTATTACAAACCTGTAAATACCGTGTCTGGCTATTACAAACCTGTATATACCGTGTCTGGCTATTACAAACCTGTATATACCGTGTCTGGCTATTACAAACCTGTATATACCGTGTCTGGCTATTACAAACCTGTATATACCGTGTCTGGCTATTACAAACCTGTATATACCGTGTCTGGCTATTACAAACCTGTAAATACCGTGTCTGGCTATTACAAACCTGTATATACCGTGTCTGGCTATTACAAACCTGTAAATACCGTGTCTGGCTATTACAAACCTGTATATACCGTGTCTGGCTATTACAAACCTGTATATACCGTGTCTGGCTATTACAAACCTGTATATACCGTGTCTGGCTATTACAAACCTGTAAATACCGTGTCTGGCTATTACAAACCTGTAAATACCGTGTCTGGCTATTACAAACCTGTATATACCGTGTCTGGCTATTACAAACCTGTAAATACCGTGTCTGGCTATTACAAACCTGTATATGCCGTGTCTGGCTATTACAAACCTGTATATACCGTTTATGGCTATTACAAACCTGTATATACCGTGTCTGGCTATAACAAACCTGTAAATACCGTGTCTGGCTATTACAAACCTGTATATACCGTGTCTGGCTATTACAAACCTGTATATACCGTGTCTGGCTATTACAAACCTGTATATACCGTGTCTGGCTATTACAAACCTGTATATACCGTGTCTGGCTATTACAAACCTGTATATACCGTGTCTGGCTATTAGAAACCTGTAAATACCGTGTCTGGCTATTACAAACCTGTAAATACCGTGTCTGGCTATTACAAACCTGTAAATACCGTGTCTGGCTATTACAAACCTGTATATACCGTGTCTGGCTATTACAAACCTGTAAATACCGTTTATGGCTATTACAAACCTGTATATACCGTGTCTGGCTATTACAAACCTGTAAATACCGTGTCTGGCTATTACAAACCTGTATATACCGTGTCTGGCTATTACAAACCTGTATATACCGTGTCTGGCTATTACAAACCTGTATATACCGTGTCTGGCTATTACAAACCTGTATATACCGTGTCTGGCTATTAGAAACCTGTAAATACCGTGTCTGGCTATTACAAACCTGTAAATACCGTTTATGGCTATTACAAACCTGTATATACCGTGTCTGGCTATTACAAACCTGTATATACCGTGTCTGGCTATTACAAACCTGTAAATACCGTGTCTGGCTATTACAAACCTGTAAATACCGTGTCTGGCTATTACAAACCTGTAAATACCGTGTCTGGCTATTACAAACCTGTATATACCGTGTCTGGCTATTACAAACCTGTAAATACCGTGTCTGGCTATTACAAACCAGTTGTATCAGACTAACATCCCAGTCGGGGACTTCACGTAACATTCCATCGCCCATTCCATCGCCTCTTACCAGGGTACTGGACACCCCCTCGCCCCTTCAGGGGAGCACAAGGCAATGCTAAGATGCTTAACATGTCTAATGAGAGTGAGTGAGTGAGTTTAATTTTACTCCTCTTTTAGCAACATTCCAGCAATATCATGGAGGGGACCCCAGATATGGACTTCACACATTGTGTCTATGTGGGGAATCGAACCTGTGCCTTCGGTGTGACGAGCGAACGCTTTATCCACAATGCTACCCCACCGCCCCTCACATATGTCAGGACAATTACCGGTAGACAATTAAACACCTCACAGATGCAGATACCGGGAAGTTCTTACACCTCATCATTTTACACCTTTTGGGTAATGTGTTGTTTTCATATTTTCTAGACATTGAAGCGTCCGTCGATATTTTGAAGCCACATCCGGGGTTGAGAAGCTGTACTCTCCCCAGGGAATTCACAGTGACTGTAAGGACGCACAATGAGTCCGTCACACTCCAGCTGGTGACCAGCACGTCAGTGAAGTCTACAGCCCCAGTATATGTGTGTAGACAGGAGAAGGGAAACCCGGTCATCGTCAGAGATACAGTGTTGGACCCGGAAGTAATACTGCTTTCATAGCTCATACCTGATACAATGCACTATATAAGAAGGGATAAATCTGAAGGTGTGTGTTATTGTACGATATAATGTTCAGCAGGGATAGCTGACTGAACAAATACGAGTACATTGGTACACAGAGACTTCTAGAATATGTTTACAAGTAATAAATGGATGAATTCAGTATGTTTCCCACAAACCTCCTTGGGTGGCATGTCAGAAGTTGGGAAGTACTCTATTGACAAACTTTAAGGATAACTGCTTTTATTTTGTCAGAACAAGTTATATTTTTTGCTTTTATTTTGTTTCGATACGGATTCTTGAACCGTCACGAAAAAAAGAAGCTGTTATCGATAACGTTTGTCAAAATTGTTTCCCACAAACATATTATTTTGATATAAAGGAAAATACAAGAATCTAACTCAGTGTTGCTTGGGATAATGTTATCAAAGTAATATCGTTCCTGTCTTGCATCATGTCAGAAGATGTTTTAGATAATACAAAGGCCAGGGACCAGTACCTTGCACATCACTTGCACATTTCATTCAAACTTGGTGAAATAATTTTTCAGTCTTACAACTTTTGTAGTTGTTTACTTTATGCATCTAAATACACATTGATCGAAAAAGAAACTATGAAGCATCCGTAAATATACACACCCGAGATTATAAATATACACACCCGAGATTATGATATGAACTGAAGACGGCGAGGCAGATAATATCATAGGACAGGAATGGTATCTACTACTGGAGGGGCTCTCATAATACTTCCATCACTGGACACAAGAATATGTTTTTCTTTTCTGTTTTGTTCAATGAACAAGAACATAAGACAACATGTATTTCCATGAGAGGTAGCAGTGTATTGACAGCCACAGCAATGCCACGCCTCCAGTCAGTCAGGTTTTACGCTGCTTTTAGCAATATTCCAGCAACATCATGGCAGTGGACACCCGAACTGGGCTCCACACAATGTACCCAAGAACCTGTACCCGTATTGACTTCCTATCGATAGACATTTGAAAGTGATATTCACCTGCATGTATTCACTAAGCCATCGGGCTGTAATATTTTTAGTTTCTTTCAGAGAACAGCGGAGTACCAGGATGTGACTCATCTGTCTAACATGGAGGTGTCCTGTGGCATGAAAGAGAACAGCAAACCATATTATATATTTGTACGTGTTGCCGATTTTAAGCTAAATTGAACATAATGAATGGTAATTGGTAAAGTTGGCATCGGGCGCCCCCAATCAGTTAAGCTTCAACGCCTGTGTTGATTATGAAAATCTGTTCACGAAGTCCATGCGAGGAGGAAACATTACCTGACATTTGATGAAGGCCTTGGTGAAGCTTTCATACTGTTTATAACAGATTTGTGAACTCATTTCGACATTTGATTCTTCAGTGACAAGACATCATTGCAGTTTGATATTGATTAATAAACACAGGCACATTTCTGAATCAACATTGCATTTACTACCGATTTCTTATGGCTATGTAAAGAGCTTCTTCGCTTTTCTGTCTGCAGAAGGGTTTCATTGTCACCTAAAATCATACCTGTGTAAACATTTTTTTGGTATTTCGATGAACCTGATGCTTCATATCAAATGCATTTCGGTATACGACACAGTCTTTATATGTGCTCATAATTCTTACACGATTATGGTGGGGATTTCCATAGCAAGCATAAGAATTACTGCGAGATCAGTCTGTGGATATTATTTTCTTTGAATTGTCTGTATTGAAATGACATAAAATATAGCCTTTACAAATTTATGTAGTTTATCATGAGTGAGTTGGTGAGTGAGTTTAGTTTTACGCCACACTCAGCAATATTCCAGCTGTATGGCGACGCTCTGTACATAATCGAGTCTGGACCGGACAGTCCAGTTACTCAACAGCATGAGCATCTTACGACAAACAAGGGTTGCTGAAGATCAATTCTAACCCGGATCTTCACGGGGTGAAATGTATTATGGATGCGTCGAACTATTGTTGTATATTTTCCAGGAAGGCTTTCTCTTGTTCTCTGGACAAAGTATGTTTGAACTAAAGCCGACAAGATCAGCCTCTGGTGATGTCCAGTACACACTTACATCTACAACAGTGCACAACAAACAGATCGATATTCGTGGTAAGGAGTTTTCTGACATGCCTAAAACAGATATAAATACTGCATTCACCAAATGAAAACAGGTATAAATACTGCATTGACCAAATGAAAACAGAATCGTCTTAGAATATCGAATGTTTTGATGCTCTGACTGAAACATATTCCGCCATACAAGACTGACCTTCTAATCACTTGGCCTTCGTATTTACATTCAATGTTTTGAAAATTATCCAAAAATCCCTGATGTCATATTTCCGTCTGATTCTCTTTTCTGTCTGGAAAAGATTCATACCCATTTATACAAGTTTTGCAATTTCCTTACATGATGCACCTGTAATGAACCTAAACGACCTAAATCCAAGTGTCTTATTTTTATCTTTGAAGACATATCGCAGTTCTGGTTCAGTTTGTATTGTTCATTGTTGCTCGTGCCCCTACTACATGTTGTTTACTTTGCTTCAGTTACATTGGTGTTCTTTACTCCCACAGTACGTTAATCAAATTGAATACATTACCAATAATACTGAATATAAAATTATAATACTTATATAATAATAAATAATTATAATATGTATTCAAACTGTTTAAATGTTTATTCGTTGAAGAGTTAGGTGGTGGAGACAACCTTTCTTATATAATTTGATAAATAGGTTCTTGATTACTTTGAATTTCGTGAACACAACCTTTTCACATGAATATGCAGTACAGCACATGCAGGACTGGTTCTGAACAATCTAAGAATCCTTAGGTGTGATAACAGGTAAAAAAACTCCTGACGAATTGTTACCATTAAGGTTAACAACTATTACAACAGACACATAAATGTTAACACCAATCCCAACAAACACATAAAGGTAAACACCAATCACAACAGACACATAAAGGTAAACACCAATCACAATAGACACATAAAGGTAAACACCAATCACAACAGACACATAAAGGTAAACACCAATCACAACAGACACATAAAGGTAAACACCAATCACAACAGACACATGAAGGTAAACACCAATCACAACAGACACATAAAGGTAAACACCAATCACAACAGACACATAAAGGTAAACACCAATCACAACAGACACATAAAGGTAAACACCAATCACAACAGACACATAAAGGTAAACACCAATCACAACAGACACACATAAAGGTAAACACCAATCACAACAGACACATAAAGGTAAACACCAATCACAACAGACACATAAAGGTAAACACCAATCACAACAGACACATAAAGGTAAACACCAATCACAACTGACACATAAAGGTAAACACCAATCACAACAGACACATAAAGGTAAACACCAATCACAATAGACACATAAAGGTAAACACCAATCACAACAGACACATAAAGGTAAACACCAATCACAATAGACACATAAAGGTAAACACCAATCACAACAGACACATAAAGGTAAACACCAATCACAACAGACACATAAAGGTAAACACCAATCACAACAGACACATAAAGGTAAACACCAATCACAACAGACACATAAAGGTAAACACCAATCACAACAGACACATAAAGGTAAACACCAATCACAACTGACACATAAAGGTAAACACCAATCACAACAGACACATAAAGGTAAACACCAATCACAACAGACACATGAAGGTAAATAAACACCAATCACAATAACAGACACATAAAGGTTAACACCAATCACAACTGACACATGAAGGTAAACACCAATCACAACTGACACATAAAGGTAAATACCAATCACAACAGACACATAAAGGTAAACACCAATCACAACAGACACATAAAGGTAAACACCAATCACAACAGACACATAAAGGTAAACACCAATCACAACAGACACATAAAGGTATACACCAATCACAACAGACACATAAAGGTAAACACCAATCACAACAGACACATAAAGGTAAACACCAATCACAACTGACACATAAAGGTAAACACCAATCACAACTGACACATAAAGGTAAACACCAATCACAACTGACACATAAAGGTAAACACCAATCACAACAGACACATAAAGGTATACACCAATCACAACTGACACATGAAGGTAAACACCTGAGTAAATGGTGGTGTTGTATGTCCAGGTCGCCGTAGAGAGAATGGTCGATCAGGGAATGGTCGATCAGGGAGTGGTCGATCAGGGAATGGTCGATCAGACAGTGCCTTGATGAGGATGGCATCACACTCATTGAGAAAGAAGCGCCAGATTCAGTCGCCAGTCTACGTGGACGTCATAGCAGTTATAGAGTTCTCAGTGTATAAAAGGTAGTTAACTTCACCAATATCTATGTATCCAAAGAGACTGGAAACAGTCATATTGCATGGTCTACTAACGCCAACACCGTTACATTCACAACAAAGCCGGCAATTTCATGAGAGATGTAGAAATTCAAATTCTAACAATGTCAAACCAATCAACTATACATATTACGGTACTGGCTTCCCTTGTGTTTCACAGATGGTTTTCCAGAGCAACCCAACCGACCCAAGCCTTAAAGGATCAGGAAACAAAACAAGGCCTCAGAAGACACTTTGCACATCTTGTAAACGGGGTGAGGTTTCTTGCAGTGTTCCCTAGGGGCACTCCAGGATAGAACAGGTCAACAAACACAGATGCTGGTCGCACAAGCGACCAAACAGATCGAGCTGTAACCTTGAGTGTGTCGACGATTTAGAAAAATAAAAATAACATTCATGCCCATAGGGTTGAAATCTAGAAATGTCTTATTAAAAGATTTGAGTGTCAGTCAGGTTAAGTAAAATGCACGTTTCTCTTTCCACAATAGGTAGATCTCCGTTATAAGGCGGCGTCCCCGTTATACAACATAAACCTGGTGGGGTATATCATTGAGGTAAGATGTTTGTCTCCAGTTGCTTTCTTTCACAAACATACAACACGTTTACTGAACACACTCTGGTGTATCACAAGTAACGGTTACAGTTTGTGCCAGTTATGTGTGGTGTATAGCGACTGTACGTGTGTAAATATACAACACCACACGATGTCGTCACTGTACACAGACACACGATGTCGTCACTGTACACAGACACACGATGTCGTCACTGTACACAGACACACTATGTCGTCACTGTACACAGACACGATGTCGTCACTGTACACAGACACACTATGTCGTCGCTGTACACAGACACACGATGTCGTCGCTGTACACAGACACACTATGTCGTCACTGTACACAGACACACTATGTCGTCACTGTACACAGACACACTATGTCGTCACTGTACACAGACACACGATGTCGTCACTGTACACAGACACACGATGTCGTCACTGTACACAGACACACTATGTCGTCACTGTACACAGACACACGATGTCGTCACTGTACACAGACACACTATGTCGTCACTGTACACAGACACACTATGTCGTCACTGTACACATGATTCTCCAATGGTTACGCATAAACAATATTGCCTTAAAGTCACAATAAAAACACAAATATTGGACAGGTTAACCGATTAATTTTCCGATGCACGAAGTCGAACACACCAATTCTAGTTCCGCACGAAATGTCACCTGCTTCAAAATATCTCTGCATAGAGCACTATGTATTGAAAAATATTCCAGTTTTAATAACTGGATAGATGTACGTTTAAAAAACACAAACATGTTATACAAAATCATCCAATCACAGCTGTCAGATGATTCTGTCTGCACTGTTAAGGCTTGTGAAAGTGCGGAATATGATTTAGTGTAGTATAACCTACCATATACAGTTGCTTGATGAGCGATTGTTGATAGACCAATAAATAGTAGACACGAATACTATTTCATAATATTTCCGCAAGACATGATAATCATGAGGCAGTGTTGATATCTTTACTACATACGCCGCCTGATTCACTTCAATTTGCGGATACAGAATTCTGTTAGTGACACAAAACATTTACCAATTACTGTATGTATCATGGTACTCTATGTACCAGTACTCAATTACCTGTATGTATCATGGTACTCAATGTATCAGTTACTGTATGTATCATGGTACTCAATGTACCAGTTACTGTATGTATCATGGTACTCAATGTACCAGTTACTGTATGTATCATGGTACTCAATGTACCAGTTACTGTATGTATCATGGTACTCTATGTACCAGTTACTTACTGTATGTATCATGGTACTCCATGTATCAGTTACTGTATGTATCATGGTACTCTATGTATCAGTTACTGTATGTATCATGGTACTCAATGTACCAGTTACTTACTGTATGTATCATGGTACTCTATGTACCAGTTACTGTATGTATCATGGTACTCAATGTATCAATTACTGTATGTATCATGGTACTCAATGTATCAGTTACTGTATGTATCATGGTACTCTATGTATCAGTTACTGTATGTATCATGGTACTCAATGTACCAGTTACTGTATGTATCATGGTACTCTATGTACCAGTTACTTACTGTATGTATCATGCTACTCTATGTATCAGTTACTGTATGTATCATGGTACTCAATGTACCAGTTACTGTATGTATCATGGTACTCTATGTACCAGTTACTTACCGTATGTATCATGCTACTCTATGTATCAGATACTGTATGTATCATGGTACTCAATGTACCAGTTACTGTATGTATCATGGTACTCTATGTACCAGTTACTTACTGTATGTATCATGGTACTCTATGTATCAGTTACTGTATGTATCATGGTACTCAATGTACCAGTTACTGTATGTATCATGGTACTCTATGTATCAGTTACTTACTGTATGTATCATGGTACTCTATGTGCCAGTTACTGTATGTATCATGGTACTCAATGTATCAGTTACTGTATGTATCATGGTACTCTATGTACCAGTTACTTACTGTATGTATCATGGTACTCAATGTACCAGTTACTGTATGTATCATGGTACTCAATGTATCAGTTACTGTATGTATCATGGTACTCAATGTATCAGTTACTGTATGTATCATGGTACTCTATGTACCAGTTACTGTATGTATCATGGTACTCAATGTACCAGTTACTGTATGTATCATGGTACTCTATGTACCAGTTACTTACTGTATGTATCATGCTACTCTATGTACCAGTTACTTACTGTATGCATCATGCTACTCTATGTATCAGTTACTGTATGTATCATGGTACTCAATGTACCAGTTACTGTATGTATCATGGTACTCTATGTACCAGTTACTTACTGTATGTATCATGGTACTCTATGTATCAGTTACTGTATGTATCATGGTACTCTATGTATCAGTTACTGTATGTATCATGGTACTCTATGTATCAGTTACTGTATGTATCATGGTACTCTATGTACCAGTTACTGTATGTATCATGGTACTCTATGTACCAGTTACTTACTGTATGTATCATGGTACTCTATGTATCAGTTACTGTATGTATCATGGTACTCTATGTACCAGTTACTGTATGTATCATGGTTCTCAATGTATCAGTTACCGTATGTATTATGGTACTCAATGTATCATTTAAGGATGAGCTGTCACCCAAACCGTTCGAAAACGCCACAGTTAATGAAACGAAGATAGAAGGCAACCAACTTCTCAATGACATCATCAACTGGAAGGCTGACACACCAGGGTTCCCTGACAATGACCACGTTGTTGTGTTCACGGCGTGAGTTGTTCTAAATATGTAATTTACACTTTGCCTTGGTCTGTCTTGATGTTTGTTTTCATTCGTTAACTCCATTGCTTTATCGATGGTCCTTTATGGCTGACTGAGTTGCTCAATCACCTTAAACTGTATCTAATTTACACTTTGCCTTGATCACCCTTCATTGGTTGTGGTCCTGATTTTCTTTGCTTGTATATTTGTGGTACTGATTTTTGTCCAAGATTATGCCCTGATATGGCGTCCAAAATGGCGTTACCTAACTAATTAAGTGTGACCCTATGTCCATCAGTGAGTGAGTGAGTGAGTATAGTTTTATTCCACTTTTAACAATATTCTAGCAATAACACGGAGGGGGACACCAGAAATGGGCTTCGCACATTGTACACATGTGGGGAATGGAACTCTTTAACGACAAGGCTACCCACAGCCCCCCGTGTCCATCACTGTGATGATACTCTATCCAGGAAACCCTTTGTCTGTGCTCCAAGTTAATATCATATGTTAGAAGCACTGTCTTGGCATGAGTTGTTCCATCACTGTGATGATACTCTATCCAGGAAGCCCCTTGTCTGTGCTCCAAGTTAATATCATATGTTAGAAGCACTGTCTTGGCATGAATTGTTCCATCACTGTGATGATACTCTATCCAGGAAGTCCCTTTGTCTGTGCTCCAAGTTAATACCATATGTTAGAAGCACTGTCTTGGCATGAATTGTTCCATCACTGTGATGATACTCTATCCAGGAAGCCCCTTGTCTGTGCTCCAAGTTAATATCATATGTTAGAAGCACTGTCTTGGCATGCTCCAAGTTAATATCATATGTTAGAAGCACTGTCTTGGCATGAATTGTTCCATCACTGTGATGATACTCTATCCAGGAAGCCCCTTGTCTGTGCTCCAAGTTAAAATCATATGTTAGAAGCACTGTCTTGGCATGCTCCAAGTTAATATCATATGTTAGAAGCACTGTCTTGGCATGAATTGTTCCATCACTGTGATGATACTCTATCCAGGAAGCCCCTTGTCTGTGCTCCAAGTTAATATCATATGTTAGAAGCACTGTCTTGGCATGAATTGTTCCAGGCTCGACTTGTTTGACGTAGACGAAGCCGGAGTCGCCACAGACCTGGTGGGTGAGTGTAGCTTTATACTTTGGATTGACATTCTACCTATTATAGACAATCAACACATAAACATTTATTTATTAAATTCTTTAATATGATATCAAAATGAAAACAAACTGTGGTCATTGAATATTTTGACCCTCCGCGTACAGGATACGAACGTATTTTGCTCTTTTATTTTTGTCTCATACAGAAAGGCTTAAGACCTTTCAAACTGAAATTATACAGGAATTTCACAATCACATGTTTGCGTCGCAATATGTGCGATCCCTTCACAAGTTTTACTATAAAGAAGTCCATGAAAAAATGTTCCTCTACAAGTTTTGGTATGATTGTTTTCCTGTTAATCTGTCGTAGAGAGAATACTTCTAACGTCCGTATGCCAGGTGAAGGTAATCACTATATACAGTATACATGTATGCATGTTTCATTTCTTCATAAATGCCTTCCCAATGCACATGGTATCAGCATTTGGTAACACTATGTAGTTTTAAATGTCTAATGGTGGGTTAACCTGGTTTGAAGTTCATTTCCGGTATCCAGGCTGTGGATTTACTGGAATATTCGAAAAAGAGGCGTAACTGCTGATATGTGTTTCATTGTTCCCACCCGTATATTGTTGCAGGATACGCTGAAATAGGAGTAGTATGTCAGTACCCGGAAAACAGCGTGTCGGCTGTGGAGTACACAGACAGCCTGGTGGCCGATATGCTCGTCACAACACACGAAATCGGACATGCGTAAGTAGACTACGAAGACATATTGACATTCTTACATTAGCTTTGATCCGTCAGTGGTTTAGAATCTTATGTAAATATCACGTAAACTGTACTACTTAGGTCCCGATCCACAAAACGTTCGTAGCGCTACGACATTCGTAAGCCTATGATAAACTATGGAGTTACGACAGGTCGTAACATTACGAACGCTTTGTGGATCGGGACCCCGGGGCCGGGACCTCTTGCATTCATACTGATCCGTCGGCAGATTACACGTCAGAGGCACTGCCAGTACCAGACAAATGTATATTGGGCAAGTGAGTGAGTGAGTCGGTGAGTCTAGTTTTACGCCGCTTTTAGCAATATCACGAGTTAGACACTAAAGACATTGTACCCATGTGGGGAATCGAACCCGCGTCTTCGGCCTGACGAGAGGATGTTTTAACTACTGGGCTACCCCAGCGACCCTATATTGGGCAGGTATTTGTTACTTTTCCATCATCATCGCATATAACAGATAATTATGTGGAAATCTAGTAAACAGAAACTGGTATTTCGCAGGCTCGACGCCCTTCATGACGGCGACGGGAATGCATGTAACTCTTCACATAACTACATCATGTCCAGTGGCGAGTACCCCGACTCCCAGGATCTCGACAGCAACAACTACTACATCTTTTCAACATGTTCTTTACGCTACATCCAAAACTTCATTGAAAACATCCTAGCAAGCGGGTTGGTATGAAAGGCGAAACAAGGAAATATCGAATTAACAGTCTCCGTATCCGTGTACTCCGCATCGAACCCGGACCTTCTGAGTCACGAGCGAACACTTCACCCCTTAGGCTACCATACCAACCCTCAAATGCAACAGGAAGCTTCTATTTTAAACATGCTGATTGTTTTATATTTTTAGTAAGAAAATACCGTTTGTAAAAAACATTTTGTCGGTCATTACGGTTGCCAAACCTTGTGTGACCACAGTTTTCACGTGATGTCACAAATTGTTATATTTTTAAGCACATTGTTCGAGTATCGGGTGCAACCTGTACCTTGTGTCATCACTGATTGTCAGCGATCCATTTTGCCATCTTACGCCCAAGAGCATGCATTGGCAGATAATCGACACTTGTTACCTGAGTCGTTTGGTTTGCGTGTATTTATATATGAATGCCGACATGTCTATTATCAGATCTGTTGAAATAACATTTCATAACTCAGGTAATTCTTAAAATACAGTTTGGAAGGTAATATGGTTCGGACAGTGTGTACATTATTAGGAAGGACTCAGTGTTGGCGTTCTCGACGGAGGCCATCGGATCCTAGTGCAACTAAGGGAAGTAACTGTGCATACTGTATTACACGAGCATTACACCCAGGCCTCGTCATTAGAGTCATTATAACGACATTGTAGAATATTTGCTAGTCTTTCAACACGAGCACCTCAGTATAACGTACTATTGTGATATATCCTATATAATATCTGCCTCTGTATATTTTTCAGTACAGATACCCAAAAGCAATGCTTACAGAAACCACTCGAGCCGGCGTCTGTGACAGACATCACGGGGACGATGCCGGGACAGCTGTACGACGTCCACACACAATGTAAAATGATGTATGGGCCGGGCTACTTCATGAATTTAGTAAGAACAATGTAGCTATCAGTACAAACAGAGATCATGCTTGGACGCATCATGTGGTATACATGTGTGAAATCTGGAGTGAGTGAATATTACCTGACGCCGCATAAGCAATTCTGCAGCTATTCGCAGCGTGGTGCCAAAAATGCTTATGACACGTTTCATTGTTTATTGTGTCACAATGACGTTAGATATTTCATTTACAATGAACGTGACATTTGCAGGATGTCGATATTGGTGGTTCTGAAAACATATGCAAGAGAATGGCCTGTGGCAAGGAAGAGTTTGAGATGTTCCACGACGCTGCCGATGGAACAACGTGTGGCAATAAAAAGGTACGTCAACTGTGTGTCTGTACTCACTTAACACCAGTACCTTGAAAAACTGAATGTATTTTTCTGTTGACTGGTGTAATGATTGTTGTGAATGTTTACAAAAGTTGCTAGTATAAATATAACAACAACTCCTACTACCACTACGCCTGCTGCTACTACTACCACTACGACTACTACTACTACTACCGCTACCACTACTGCTGTTACTACTACTACTACCAGGGGCGGTGGGGAAGCCTAGTGGTTAAAGCGTTCGCTCATCACGCCGAAGGCCCAGGTTCGATTCCCCACATGGGTACAATGTGTGAAGTCCATTTCCGGTGTCCTCAACCATGATATTGCTGGAAAATTGCTAAAAGCGGCGTAAAATTAAAACTGACTCACTCACTACTACTACGACGACTACAACTACGACTATTACTACTACTACTACTACTACCACTACCACTGTTACTACGACTACTACTACGACCACTACGACTATTACTACTACTACTACTGCCACTACAACTGTTACTACTACTACGACGACTACTACTACGACGACTACGACTATTACTACGACTACTACGACTATTACTACTACGACGACGACTACTACTACAACTACTACGACTATTACTATTTCTACGACGACTACTACTACAACCGTGATGTCTCAAACAATAAGGAAACAATGACAAAATGGAAATATCCATCTCCCGCTACCGGTTTTTTTCCTCCATGTAAATCTTAAAACCCTTATAGGTCCGGGGTAGAATGAACCTTCAGTATCCCATACTTGTCGTAAGAGTCGACTAACGGGTTCGGGTGGCCAGGCTCGCTGACTTGGTTGACATATGCCTTCGGTTCCCAATTGCGCAGGTCGATGATCATGCTGTTGATCACTGGATTGTCTGGAATATTGCTGAGTGCGGCGTAAAACTAAACTCACACACTCTTAAACCTATTCGTTCAAAAATAGCACATGAACGTCTTGCACTTGTAATTTCAGTGGTGTGTTGCTGGGGAGTGTGTGTTTTCAATAGATGCACCGGAACAAAACAATCGTAAGTGAAGTTCCATAGATCATTCTGCTTTTATGTGTCTACGGGGGCCTGTGGGGTAGCCTATAGGTTAAAGCGTTTGCTCGTCACGCCGAAGGCTCGTGTTCGATTCTTCACATGAGTACAAAGTGTGAAGGCTATTTCTGGTGTCCCCCGCCGTGATATTGCTGGAATATTGCTAAAAGCGGCGTAAAACCATACTCACTCACCCACTCATTGTGTGTCTCCGACCTGTGTCAGTGTAACACCTTTCATAGTATGTGAGATACATATGTCGGCATTTGGTGTGTCAGAAGAACAGCAATGGGACACTTAGCAGAGGCTTATGGAGAGGGCGAATACTCAGAAACCTAGAATCGTAACAGTGCTGAATCTTTAGATGTAAATCAATACCATCGGATACAACCGTCACTAAGGGAAGCACCTTTGTACAATGTGTCACAACGGATTATACGCTCAGGTTTCAGGCCTCGGAGAGATCATATACATCCATTTTGAAGCATGAAGGACGTGTGGCCGAAACATTTCACAATGTGCAACGTATTCCGACAAATTCCTCTGTGTGTGTACTAAATGATTACTCATTACATCATTACCCTGCACCACCAAACCTGTCCACTTCCTGTAGGTTGTTTTGAGCGTGTTTCCCAAGACGTTTAAAGCACGAAGTCTTCAGTTTGTACTGAGAAGCAAAATTCGTATCCATCCACTGATTGCGTTGTTGCGATTTTGTCAGTCTTGGCATGATTTTACTTTTTACTAGCTTCACTGATAGATATATGAAACCCATCGTTTTCACAACTCAGCAATTCATGTTGCACGTTCATTCCATGGTTTTGTTTGTGTTTGGTCGCCACGCTCCCAGTCAGCTGCGTTTTCGCGTTTCCCCGTCATCCCCCGATGCATGCAGACATAAGAAATTGACATTCAGTACTTATTTTGCATGAATATCAGTAAACCTCTATTTCCATGTTTTCTACTTTTGTGTTTCCTTTTCTTTTCCTTTTTTCATATTTATTTCCTTTTCTTTTTCTTTTTTTTTTGGGGTGTATATATTGACATGTTCCGGTTGTGTGTAAGTGCGTGCATGCGTCTGTATTGAATGCTCCAGAGAACTATGGTTGAACGTGATGATCCACTTTGGTACTTGTCACTATTTTCAGCCGACTGTCTGTATGGAGACCAGCCTGTAGTGTACCCGGACAACGAGACCTGTGAGGAGCTGATCAATGCGACACCACGCAACTGCTACAGTTATGATTACTTGAATGTCTGCTGTAAGACATGTCTTGACAACAAGAGGAATGATGGTACTCCTTTCTGATTGGGATTTCTCCATTTGATTCATCCCAAGCATTGTACAGAACGTGCGCGCCGAATTTTTACTTTAACTAGTAATATATTCAAGATAATATCTAATATGCGTCACATTAAAATGATGGATTGTATATGCACAGTGGCCATATTAGCAAAATAATTTGTTATTGTAAACATTGGTATAATTATAGTATGTTGTATTTATCTGTTATAATTAGATTTCTGCTTTGTGAGATTATTAACGACGAATAGCCGCATCACTGATAGAATGTGTCATGACAAGTTAATTGATAAAAGCATGTCGATTTGGATAAATAGAAGTCCTTACACCAACAGAATGCTCAGAGCCAACTCTATCATTTCTTTGGGTGATAAAGCCAAAACCTATTGATCAATTTTTAAGGAGTAACTATTTTCTGATATCGTTCAGTAATGGTTAAAATGTTAATAGCCAATCCGCTTCCATTGTACCACCTCGAGCTGGGCATTGGATAGACCAATGAAACAGGCCCATCTGAGTCACACCTAGAGTTTAGCTTGCAAATATTTCATTGGTAGAATGACTGGCAGAAACTGACATTCGTTAGAGTAAGGTGTTCGGTGTCTGAATCCCCTTGGTGACACATGGTTTATGAAACTATTGTATCACTACAGGAGGTAGCAGGGAAAACAATGTTCAGTTGGGGTGTCATTGACAATTCAGCTGGTCGTGCCCGGCAAAAGACAAAGAGCCACGTCTTGTTAATAAATGATGGCACGATGATCAGGGGAGAACACAGGCGGTATTCCTGTCTTGACAGACGAACGTTGTTTCTATTGCAGAATGTCCCTATGGCGACAACACCTTAACTGACCCGTGCGAATATAGCAGTTGTGCCACTTCCGGTTCCGACTACAGAATAAGGTGTTGTGACACTTGCAGCATTTCTACCACGACTACAACGGTATCAACGACAACCACGACTACCTCAACTACTACCACAACTACAACAACCACGACCACACCAACTACTACCACAACTACAACAACTACACCAACTACTACCAAAACTACAACTACACCAACTACTACCACAGCTACAACTACACCAACGACTACCACAACTACAACGACTAGCACGACAACATCTACCACGACTACAACAACCACACCAACTACTACCACAACAACAACGACTACACCAACAACTACAACTGGCACAACACCACTTTCGTCATCCACAACTAGTCCAAGAAGTGTGACAAGTGCAGCTACAACCACGTCAGCAGCAACAACGCCAGACACTTCAACTTCACCTTCTGCAGACACAACGGCCTCTCCTCCCAGTGGTGAGTTAAGCAGATATCCAGAATTACTATCTGTTCACCAGAAACAAATGCTTGACGTAAGAGGTGACAAAGTTGGGGATCTTTGTTCATACCATCTTTCCCCGATTTGTTTGTCACAGACGTTATTAATCACAGGCCGCCGTGATATAATAGAAATAATGCTGTTAAACAACAAATGCAAAAACACGTGATGACAAAGTAAATGTTGTGTTTTCTGACGTGGGCTTTTTCAACTTTGATTCGTACCTGCACATGTCTTTTGGAAGTGTACGCAATGAGCCGATGTTTCGGATGTAGCCTAAGTGTGTAATATCCAACAAAAATATACTGAAGAGCCGCTATCAGCCACATTCCAGTGAGTGAGTGAGTTTAGTTTTACGCCGCTTTTAGCAATATTCCAGCAATATCACGGCGGGGGACACCAGAAATGGGCTTCACACATCATATCCATGTGGGGAATCGAACCCGGGCCTTCGACCTGACGAGCGAACCACTAGGCTAGCACACCGCCCCGCCACATACTAGTCATATGACGGGACCTGTAAAGTATCGAGTCTGGACAATGCAGTCCAGTTATTAATATAGAGAACAAAGGTCCACGCCGTCGAGGTACAATGGAGAAAAACAGACTGACAAGGAAACAGTCATCTCCTGCAACTTGTTTCTCGTTTAGCATTTGTTTCCTTCACTGAAATGTACAGTAGTGTTATGTTGATGCATACTTTTTATGATGGCTGAAAATGAATGGAATTTATATAAAATGAGGCAATCAATTACGTTCAGCACCCGTTTGTTTACAGATTTCTTGACCGAAACACAAAAAATAATCATTGGTGCGAGCGTCGCGATAGGTCTGGTGATTCTCATCATCATTGCTGTCGTCGTCTGTGTCAAAAGGTGCGTACAGTAATCTTCTAAGTTAATGTACATGTACAGTGGACATACAGGAAAATAATTTGTTCCTGTAAAAATCGGTATAATTGGAGTATGTTATATTTTTCTGTTAATAATTATATTTCTTCTTTGTCAAAATATTGATTACAAAAAGCTGAATGTGTTATTTGCTTCCGTCATTTTCCCGAAACAAGGGAGTTAACTGACTCCTGTTTCCACTGTTATGCTCAGTTATCCCCCTTGCCTTGGGAAAATGGCGTCTGTGGGTACATCTGACACAACAGAATGCTTGTATTTGTACGGGCTTGGTGTTCCTGCTTAAACAGAACTGTGGACACTTGCACTTGGTCATCACATGCTACAACAGTTACTATAAACATTTATTTCAGAAATCATTCACAATGTAGCATAGTCATTTTTAATTTATCAACCGCTATAACTGTTGTGATATTATACCAACATATACCCGGTCAGATGACGTGTAGCTGGCCGATTTCTCGTTTACTGCGATTTGGCGACAATACACACAGCATTGTTTGTGAAGTAATATTTCTTTTTTTTAAAACAATAACCTCTTTCTTGTCAACTCTTTCAGAGGCGTTTGTAAAACACGGACAAAAGGAAAGGAACCGAAGATGCGAACTGAAGATTTTGATAACAGGGCTCCCCCTCTAGGCGTGTCTTCAGGGGTGACTCCTCATACCAGCCACGTTGTTAATGTTGGCTGATTGGGCTGAGCGATATTACCCAGTACAATAAGTCCCATTGATGCACAATCATAGTTTTAAGCAGCGACAGTCTTAGGATCAACTACAACTGTCATGTATACAAACATGTTTTTTCACTTGTTGTTTAAATAGTCATATAGATCCACACCAAGAAATATAATCGGGTGTTACTTATTTCCATCATTTTTTATCGCTAATTCAAGAACATTATATAGGCGATATCCCCATACTTTAGTCTCACCATTGCTCTAGCAGTATGAAGCCGGGTCACATGGTGTTGATCTCAATCTCAATTGATACGGGTTTCATTATGCTGACAAACTGACTTTCAAAACTTAATGGCAATTAGATTTCATAATCGTTATTCCTGACATATTTAGACGTCAAGATCAGATCAACTTGAGCAAGGTGTCACCACTCAATTTCAGTGATCCATTAATATTCTTCTCATCCGTATTTTGCCTAAGTCAAAGGTGTTTTATTGTATCGAAGACCATCAGCCCATATACAAGTTTTCATAAATACACTGGTTGAGAATATACTGATTAGTAGATACAGTGGAAATGAAAAGATATATAACATTCATTTAACAATTGGTGGTAATCAGGAGGACCTTTTAGAGTAAGATAAATCTGAAATCCCATTCAACAAGTTATTTCTTAGGTCCATTCCATGTTTTACAAATAGAGATAATCTAAATATTACATCGGCATCATCATCGAATGATGCCTACTGGAGTCTGTTTCGGCTGATGATTGGGACACACAAGTCAAAACATTGATTATACAACAGTCTCCTTTCCTGTTTACTGGGTTCCGTCCTGTTGCGCAACTTAGTACAATAACCAGTCCAGAATTTTGAGACCAATTCATTTTAAATGGATACATAAATATTAATCAGTATTATTTGATACATCTAAGAACTTGTATATTGCAACACTACGCTCCTTCTAATCCTTGCAAACACGTCGTGCAGCGTGCTCTGTCGTACAGCGAGCACTGACAAACGGAAACCTGTAAATCGTGGAAATCTCAAAACGAGGCTCTGTCGCTAGAAAGGTTTATGGTATGGTACACGGAATTGATATTGTATCAATCACATTGTGCGTACAGAACTACTCTGAATAAGCGCAAAACACATAACAGGTGTAACCAGTGACCCAGATGCATTAGGAATCATTTTACGACCCAAACAAACAGGGTCAGTCTGTGACGTCTTAGTTGAGAGGTTATGCTGCCTACACCTCGCCATAAAATATAGAAATACGATGTTATTAAAGCTTATATTTAAAATTTATTTGTAAATACCATTTTCTTATAACACAAGGAATTGAATTCAGTGTAAACCATAGTTGTTTGTGATGACTAGTTTGGCTCACACGCGAGAAAATTCTTGATTGGCTGAAAAGTAGGTCATTGTCTGAATAGGATAATGAGACTCGTGTTTCGGTTTGCACTGTTTGGTAGGGCGGTGGGGTAGCCTGTTCGCTCATCACGCCGAAGACCTGGTTCTATTCTACATGGGTACAATGTGAGGGGTGTGTGTGTTTCGAACACACACACACACACACCTTGAAAATGACTTAAGACCACATTGAAGATGTTGTGTTGGTGTACTTTCACACTTTGCTGGGGCCAATTTTAGCCTTTTACTGGCATTAAACACATTTTCTACTTTTCTTACAGATTCACAATATACTTTTTCATTGTATTTGTAGTCCTCAACTTGATGGATACCTCCTATAAATATTTTATTCGTTTTTCCATTTCTGGTGTTTAGGGCTTTTTCTTATTCCTTAAAAAATCACGTTTGTGTTCAAAATACTGATCGTCTAACTTGTAGGGCTGGGACGGATACTCGGCCACCATGAGTACCCGGATAGGGAGAGAACTCAGTAATGACAAGGGCAGGTAACTCTAACCTAGAGCAATATGGACGACTCGCATGCTAAGTTGAGTGTTTGGGCTCATTTTGAGCTTGATGCAAATGGCAAGAGAACCAACTGCCGACTCTGTGGTATCATGTCTGAAATTGATAGTACAGTCTGCTTATGGTTTTGAGATTTATCAGTGTTAGACCCTGCTGGTGAATTCTACTGAAGTGGTGAAGGTGTGGGACTTGTGCTACTCCTGGGCTTCATCCCTTATGAAGCTGACACGCCAAGATCGGGATATACATGTACTTAATCTCATAATTTAACACAGTTACAAATTTTAAGACCCATACGGTTTTTCAATCTAATATGTCAAGCTACTGCGGAAGCTGTACAAGGTCAATGCAAAACATCTTGCACTAAAACACAACCTAAACAATAAACGTGTTCATTACATTGTGTATTTGTGTTCATTGCTTATCAAGCTTTTAAGATTACATGTACATTGAATTTTGTCTTTAGTTTCTATTTTATTTCAATTTCATGTAACACAGCTTTTACATTTGCGTTTAACATGAACACATTGACTATTAAAGAGATTGCAATTAAATGATTGTATGTGTTGGGAATATCAATTAAAACTAAGGATTTAACATTCTGATTTGCAAATACAATGTTCGACTGGTTATCATTACAATAAGAAGAAAGATGATCAGAAATAGAAGCAGAACTCACGTAACATATACATTTTATAGTTTAAAGGTCACATGCAACGTAAAACACAACTTTGCAGATTCTGATACCTTTCGGTATGGACTAACCGAAACAAATCATCAAAAATGAAAATTCAACTTATAAAGTTGAAAAATAACGCAATGAAAAAAACCGCGCGAAATCGGAGTTCAAACGATTCACTACTTTTCCCCCAGCGTTTGCGGGGGAATTCAAGTGGTTTCAACAGCTGGGCTGCGCTCATAGCACGTGCGCAGTGAAATAGGTTCGCGCAACTTGGAAGCGGGCTGTCCGGTGAATACTCGGTGAAGGCTTTGGTGTGAGCTATTTTTCTAATGTTTTGTTAATATCTCACAGGCGCGAGCTTTTTATTTGTATAACAGTAAATTAACTGTTTATATAATTTCATTTGTCTATTTCACCACACGTTCTTCTTACCGAGTCACTTTCTCAGTTCGATTCTTAAAAGCAATGTCATTATTTAGCGTTGACAGAATTTCTAACTGTGATATAGATATGTCGTTGTCACAGACAAAACTCAATGTCTGTTTTATTGACACCTGTATGTCTGCCTGCCTGTCTGCTAATGACAATATTCAATACACAGCTGCTATCACTGACCACATGCAATTTGAACTTAACACCAATCAGGCTATACACCAAAATGCATTGATTTATGGCCCGAGTTCGGTCTCTGTCACATTATGTAATTACACAGACAGGCAGGTGTGATACTTGAACACATGACATGTTATGATGTCTGTTGATTGCAAAATGTTATACAAAAAAAATGAGCATGTATTTACAAAACCCAACATCTCTATATATACACACACAATAAGCCGCGAGGGCATCTGCAAATGAACCAGCCGTTACACTTGAGTGCACACCCACCCGCTCTGACTGGGTTCGGTATGGTGTCAGCCCGATCTGTCGACAAATGAAAAATAGGATGTTCCTAACCGTCACCACACAAAATGACTGTGTTGCCCACATTTACTAACGTTAGGTAATATACGTTTCATCCGGCGGCAATATGTACAACGTTGGAAATCTACGTATCATCTGGCTGTCAGATTTACACACGTTTAAAAGGGTGTTTAAATTAACGTACACTCAACTCTGTATTTACATGTATTTCACAGGTGTGTAAATCTGGCCATTGTTTTCATGTGTTTTCTAGCATGTGTAACGTATGTAAATGCTGTGATTGTAGGACATGCATTTCAATACCCTTGAAATCTCGTATGACCAGGGTTAGGTTTGTCATATATTTAGTACACGCGTAAATGGTTGGTAATGGATAAATAGTGTTACAAGATTTACACTTTTTTAACATGTATTTCAATGGTTCTGTAATGGAACTTTCACATATGGTTCGTTAGCGCGTCGGACCACGCCATAATGCACGGAGGTCATTTAGAAACACATGGCGAAGTGATACCCATGACTGAGCACCGCTATTAACGTGCCTGCCTTTCTTGACATACACATGATGTCTGTTTAAAAGGTTCAAATATTGGGTCTGTGGGCTAGAGCGATATGTATGTTAGGGAGTGTGCGTGTGTGGGCATGTGTGTGAGAGGGAGGGGTGTTTGATGGGGCAGGCCTATGGTGGGGTGATGGCGGTGGGGTACTGATAAGCCTTTCTGCAGCTGGCCAGTAGGTAATACCGTTTATACTTTTTGCAATGGAAATTACATTACACTTTAAATAACTGATCTTAGGTACACTTCTTATATATAACATGCAAGGAGAGACTGCTTATTGCAATAAAACACAGACAGATGTGTTCACACAGACATGAACCGGTAGGTCCCTAATTTTAGTGCACACCTGTATAAGTTATCAGACTGATCATAGCTGCACAAATTTTATTATCTATTCTTTTAAAAATGATTGTTCTAGGGTAGATTATAGAAAATTCTTGTGATTCTTGTGATTACAATTAGTTCATAAGCTTAGGTAACTACGCAGTTTCGATAATTACTGGAAGTTTACCACCTCACAGCATTTGTTACTCATGCGTTTTCATTTTCGCTTTTAGCTCTCTGATTTGTTATACATTACATAATTATTGGAATCATTTTGGCATCCCGATATCATGGAATAAATGTTTACTTATTAATCTATCAAAGTGCCAAAACTTATTGTCTGTATGTGTTACTGTTATTGAGTGAAACTGTTAAATGTACCTTCGTACAGAATTTCCAGGACATAGAAACTGAAAATTGCTAAATAAATGGAACACTAAATTTGATAAAAATTGCAAACAATTATTATTCATATACCAGTTTTAAAGTATCAGTGTGCAGATGTTCAATGGATATTAAGACCAAGTAAATTGGAAGATTCACAGACTAACAGTATTTCTTTACAGTATTTCCTTACAGACATATATGGAAAATTATTTTTACGGGTATGGAACGAATGGGGTAAAAAATCTGCAAAGCATCTGAGTCAGCTGAGATTATCCTTTAAAAACATCATATGTACATTTAACAATTACTTATCATTAATTGCAACCAAAACATTACATAAATGCCATATTTCCA